ACTCTGTGGTTTCTCAGTGAGCTCCAAGCTGCCTCAACAGAAAAAAACATCTTGGAGAAGATGGTTGCTTACACACGCTAATCTTGACCTTTTGATGGCCTTTGTTTGAAATTTTATTAAAATTCTTTAATTACACAAATATTTAGTTTGAAAAATGTATTAAAAGAATCTCTTCCCTTTATCCCCAGAGAATAATAAAATATCCTCCCCCCAAAGCATATAGGAAACCTCAGACTCTTATTGATTTCTCAAGAGTCCACTTTAACTGATCACAGACTCAAACCCTCTCCCTGGTGGCTCAGATGGTAAAGAATCTGCTTGAAATGTGGGAGACCGAGGTTCGATCCCTGGGTTAGGAAGATCCCCTGGAGAAGGGAATAACTACCCTACCTACTCCAGTATTGTTGCCTCGAGAATTCCATGGACAGAGGAGCCTGGCGGGCTACAGTTCACGGGGTTCCAAAGAGTCGAACGCAACTGAACGACTGACTGACTTTCTGAGAGAGTGAATTCCTAGGCAGGTTGATAAGAAGTCCAAGGGTCCCTGAGAAGAGAGGGGTCAGAGGTTCTTGAGAACGAGATAGGGGTCTGGAATTCTCAAGGAGGAGGAAAGGACAAACTTCTTTTTTTTTCTCTACATTCCTTAGTCACATAAAACAGTTTTTTCTTTAAGACCGGAAGTGATGATTATACAACAAGTTCAGTTCAGTTCAGTTCATTTCAATCGCTCAGTCTCTTTGAGACCCTGTGGACTGCAGCACGCCAGGCTTCCCTGTCCATCACCAACTCCCAGTTTACTCAAACATGTCCATTCAGTTGGTGATGCCATCCAACCATCTCATCCTCTGTCGTCCCCTTCTCTTCCTGCCTTCAATCTTTCCCAGAATCAGGGTCTTTTCAAAGGAGTCAGCTCTTCACATCAGGTGGCCAAAGTATTGGAGTTTCAGCTTCAACATCAGTCCTTCCAATGAATATTCAGGACTGATTTCCTTTAGGATGGACTGGTTGGATCTCCTTGCAGTTCAAGGGTCTCTCAAGAGTCTTCTCCAACACCACAGTTCAAAAGCATCGATTTTTCGGCGCTCAGCTTTCTTTATAGTCCAACTCTCACATCCATACATGACTACTGGAAAAACCATAGCCTTGACTAGATGGACCTCTGTTGGCAAAGTAATGTCTCTGCTTTTTAACATGCTGTCTAGGTTGGTCATAACTTTTCTTCCAAGGAGTCTTTTAATTTCATGGCTGCAGTCACCATCTGCAGTGATTTTGGAGCCCCAAAAAATAAAGTCAGCCACTGTTTCCACTGTTTTTCCATCTATTTGCCATGAAGTGATGGGACCAGATGCCATGATCTTTGTTTTCTGAATGTTAAGCTTTAAGCCAACTTTTTCACTCTTCTCTTTCACTTTCATCAAGAGGCTCTTTAGTTCTTCTTCACTTTCTGCCATAAGGGCAGTGTCATCTGTGTATCTGAGGTTATTGATATTTCTCCCAGCAATCTTGATTCCAGCTTGTGCTTCATCCAGCCCAGAGTTTCTCATGATGTACTCTGCATATAAGTTAAATAAGCATGGTGACAATATACAGTCTTGACGTACTGCTCTTCCTATCTGGAACCAGTCTGTTGTTCCATGTCCAGTTCTAACTGTTGCTTCCTGACCTGCATATGGATTTCTCAGGAGGCAGGTCAGGTGGTCTGGTATACAACAAACAACTCAGTTTAAACTCTGTACTAAGGATTATATAACAACAATGTATCCTGCTTGAGGACAGTTTCTCCTTCCTGAAAACCTTCTGACTAATCCTGATATCTTAGAGTGTATATTATGGGAGTGGGTCTGGTAGGATTTTTCTATCATTAAATTCTAATCCTGTTATCCTAGAATGTAAATTGTGGGAGTGGATCTGGTAAAATTTTTACAACCTTAAGACATCCTTTTGATTTATTGTAGTAACTAATTTATAAAGTATATAATTCCCATGCTAAAGACTAGCAAGTGGAGCACCCTCCACCCCCTTCTGATGTCTATGTCAGAAGCTTTCTCTGTCCCCTTTCACTGATAAAAGTTCTGCCACACAAGAGCCCTGAGTGGTCAAGCCTGGTCTCCAGTCCCGAAGCTAAAACTTTGGAGATCACAAATCTGACGTTGTTCACTGTAAGCTATCATTTCCAAACCCGCTCAATACCGTTCAGGTGTGATTACAGTCCCCAAACTGGGCTTGAGCAAATTAGCAACTCACATGGAATGGCAACTCACATCAAGTACCTATAGACCGATAGGTGTCAACATGGCACTGTGGGCCACACAGGCCAGTGCCAGCTATTCCCCAGTGGAGCAGTGGGAGCCAAGACTGAGCTCCAGCAAAGCTCCAGAAGCCCCCTGCACCTCAGGGCCAGAAGGCTTCTCTCTTCAGTCCTTCCTGTAGCCCCTTCAACTCAGGAGCAAGCCACCAGGAAGAGGCTAGTGCAACGGTTAACTTGAGTTTTAGTCAGATGGAGCCAAGTCCAACCTGGGAGCTGACTAGTGGCAGGCTTTTGGCAAACCACTCAACCTTCCAGAAATTCCTGGTAGGCCTCAGGCAGACAACTCAACCTTCCTGAAACTCAAGCTAGGAATAATATCAGCACCACAGCCATGCTGTAAGAGTCAATGAGATATGTGTGGAAAGCATTTACTAAGGTGCCTGGCACAGTAAAATACTCCATAGACTGTGGCTATTACTATTATTTTTATTATGTACTAGCATAACCTTAAGGCCTCTGATTATGTAAAAAGACAGGTGCATCCCTGAATCTCTTTCCTGGATTCTGCATTTAGTGTGAGTACACTTAAAAACAATGACTACACATGGAATCAATGTAGAAAAATACTTTTCTAATGGAGAACATTTCTGGTACCATGGAAATTAATGTTTTGTTTAATAGATGCATCACTATTTATAAGAAACCAGATTAGTATATTTTTTTAATTAAAAATGTTTATTGGTTATTGACTTTAATCAGTTTAAAGGAAAGAAATATTCTTTCAAATGTGCTAATAAGAAAAAGACCCAGAGAAATGGACAAAGTTGGGTAGAATTTTCAGTGTTTTGAATACAAATAAAGTTCATAAATTTTATATGGATTCTAGGATATTTATTAATACTCCTCCAACAATGGGCTTGACATTGAACAGGACTATAAACATATGAACAAGTCCAATCCAATATATTTCAAAACAAGAAGATTCTTGAGAATAGAAATTCTGTCTTTTGTAACTATCCTTGCCATTCATTGGCGGAGAGGTTACAGGAAGTATCTGTGAATTCTGAAATTCATGAACTTTGGAATTCATATACATTCTTAAACTACTAATAAAAGAAGACCATATAGATGGGCGCGCAACATATAAAAATATAGTAACCACATAATAATCAAAAACAATGTTCAGTAATGCCCACTAAAATGAACAAAGAGAAAAATACAGCATAAGAATATAAAACAAATATTTTATACCCCTACAAACAAAAGAAAGGCATCTTTTTGGTTCTGTTGTTTTTATAAAAACTATGTGTGAAAAACACACGTATGTGTATTTTTACAGGAAAGTTGACAAACATAGAAAAGCACTTCTAAATAAAAATCACCTGTCATATCATCAACATGAATGTCATTCCTTTGACAAGAGCATAAAAAATTCATAGGAGATGTGATCAGGGAAGGCCTTCCTAGCCTCAGGACCTGCGGATGCCAATTTACCAACCACTTTAAAATCCATGGGCCATGTAAATCCATGGCTAATTCATTTCAATGTATGACAAAAACCACTGCAATGTTGTAAAGTAATTAGCCTCCAACTAATAAAAATAAATGGGAAAAAAAAATAAATAAATAAAATCCATGGGCCAAACCTCTTTTTAGGCTCTCTACTGTTACCTAACTCCTGATACCACTGTATTTTAAATCAAGCCAACAGTGATCAATAAACAAGGATACATGTAAAGCTATGGTTCTAATCTAAAACTTCTTGTTCCCCAAATATTAAGAGCTGGATGGAATCTTAGACATTCATCTAGTACTCTTCACTATGCCTGTCCTCATTATTCAGAAGGAAACAGGAATGGGGAGGTTAAGTGATATATGCCCAAGTGTTACAGCTGAGTAACTTAAATCCAATCCCCTAACAGCCAGGCCAGGGCTCCATCCAAGTGAACACACGGTGACTGAATCTCCCCAAGTGATGGAACTTCAGTTATTAAGTGGCTCGACTATGAATGAGCCTGAAAGGCAGACCACAGTGGATCTGTATGACCAGATGAAAGCTGCAATGCACTTTCAGCTCCACATAGGCAACTGTGGTGACTTTAGGGAGGCAAGTCACAGAAAGACCATATGGTCAAATGAAGAGTGTGCCCTGTGTCAACTGATCATTGGAGCAACATGAGAGCTCCACATTCCATGGAGATGTGAGCCTGGTGAAGTCACAAGAGTCATTTCTGGTTGACTGCACTGCCAGGACAGCTTGGGAGGCAGAAGAACCCAAAAGAGGCCCCTGAGAATATTAGGATTAAAATGAAGAAAACTCTTGAATCAGCTAGATTCCTCTTGGTCAGCAGGCACATATCCACAGAGGTCATACAACTTACGACCAATCATCTCCCGTCAAGTTCCAATTCAATTTAGTGAACCCTCAGATTTTCATCATCCCCACTTCAAGGCTGTCCTATTATATCTAAAGCTTATCTTTGACTAAACAAATCTCAATTGACTAAAAGAGTGTAGAAATATGAAAGGTCATGTTTCAGTTTCTTCTGATCAATCTAGGTCATTTCAGTTGTAAGAAGTCTCTTTAGCCTCATGTGGGCAGAGCTCAGTACAGATGTTCCTACTTTAAGCAGACTTCATTCTCAAATATAAGCAATTAAAGTTTAAAGTTACGATCACTTCTGGCTCTCTTCTTCCCACATCACAACTGTGGTGCAGGCTCGACATGAAGAGTCAGACTGGGTGCCATGTCTCAGGAGGCTTGCTGGCGGATGAGCTCTTTCAACTGAGCCAGTCTGTCACTTTTCAGTGCTTCCCGGATGGAGTGGAAAAATCCAAAGTAGTGTTCAAAGTTGTGCATCATAAGCAGGACACCAGCCAACAGCTCATTGGTCACCAGCAGATGGTGGACGTACGCACGAGTGTGGTTCTTACAGCAATAACAGGAACACCCTCTCACGAGAGGACTGAAGTCCTCCTGGTACCTGAGGAAGGAAGTTACAATGATATTCCACAAGAAACTGAGAACCCAGACCACCTATTCTGTTGGCACATAACCAACAGTTAGTAACATGACTAGCAAATGTAGTGCCAGGCACCTGCTGAAGAGGGCAATGTAGTCAAAAGGTAATGGAGAGCACAGCAGGTCAGGAGATTCAGAAGTCCAGCTCTGATGGATACAGCCTCCTAGACCAAGGCTTACCAAGGAGCAGCAGCAGAGTCACATGCTCGCTGCCTCCTGCTGAGCATGGTTAGTCACACTGTAAAGGCACACAAAAATGTGAGGAGACGCGCTTCTGATGAATGACACTCTTCTCCCACTTGCCATCAGAACTATAATATTAGAAGAGATGGTATGACCTTTTACTTGCAGAGCTTTTTGCAGTTTACAAAAAACTTCTATATATTCTGTCTCACTTAATCTCTGCAACCACCCGTGGAGACATACATTTTTCCTGTCACTTTACCAATGGAGACTGGCCAAGGGGGCTAAAAGGGAAGGCTCTGGAGCTACAATGACTGGGCTTGTTTCCTGCTTCACAACTCTGGAAAGTCACTTAACCTCCCCCTGGGTCTGTTTTCTCATCTGAAATGTAATCAGGTAATAACAATGCCTTATTAGTGCTTACCTATAGAGCTGTTACAAGAATTAGATGATTTAATATAGTAAAGGACACAGATAGGCACATGCTAAGCACTATATGTACTATCCTTTATCAGCTATTTAAAAGAAGTTATATGACTTGACCAAAGTCACACAGTCATGAGCAGAACCACAATCTGAATGCCAAATCTCCAAAGCTTCAAGTCTATTGCTGATAAATACAGCAGTTTCCAATGATATCGACAATGTAAAGGGAATTTTAGTAGTAACCATTTATATCACCCTAGCTTTTTAAAAACAGAAATGAACCTCCTTGGTTATTTTTCAATAAGTCAAACATGGTAAACATCAGCATTTCAGACCTACAATCGAGAAGTCACTACAGAAAGAAGAACTAGGAATTTCACATTCTTTCATAAATTTTCAAGTCTGTACTGTTACTAGATAGTAATAAATAAGTCTGAGTCCCTAAAATGTCCCTTTACATAAGACCAAAAATACCCCAGCATTAAAATAAGTATACCAAGTTCCAGAAAACTACTCACTTGTTCACTGATAATTTCCACTTTTGGCCAAACACAAAGTTACAAGATATCTTAGTTTAGTCTTTATAGAGGCAAATACTTTACTTAAGATTTATAATTTGTATATAACCAAGATGGCTTAAATTCCTTAAAATTTAAAAATCTTTTTTTATTTTATCTTGAAATTCTTATTTACACTGTCATTATTTAAAGTAATCATAAGAAACACCAAACAATGGATTTGGTCTAATCCTCCTGACAGCTCTTCTAAAACATTAGTTATCAAGCCTCAGTTTTCTGTCAAGACAAAGTACACAAATTCATCTACAGAAAAAAAGAATTCTGCAGGCACTGAATTTGAGAAGGCCCAAACAATGTCCAACTATAAATATTTTATGAACTCATAAACTGAGAAGGGAACAGTTACATAAAACTTTTAAAACAGACTGAAATTAAAAAGACAGAAATCAAATTTAAAAAAACAATCCTTACTTTTTTTCCTTCAGATTAATTTCAAATGATGTCATTTCTTGGTTGCAACTGGTTGTTTTACTTTTCTTTGTTTGATCCACATATTTTATTTCTTCCTGTGTTCCATTTTGTTGTAATACTGAGGACAAACCAAAAAGAAGTCTTGAATGAAGATCAGATAAAGAGGGGCCACTGGGAGAATTTTTGTTTTAGTTACTATTTCAGGTCCTTTGACCCTGTAATTCCACTCCTTAGAACTTACCTTACGGAAATGCACACACATTAAAAAAAGGAACATGTAACAAGGTGATCACTGACCTGTAATCTATAGTATCAAAACCTGGAGACTTAACTATGTCTAGCAAAACATGGTTATAAGTATATATCTTATAATCTTACTCTCAAGGAACGATTTCTTAAAAACCAGCTGGATGTGTGTATGTTCGTGTGTGTGTAAGACAGAGGGGAGGGAAAGAATAAATGTGTGTGCCTGTGTGTTGGGAGTCATGTCTTATCATAATGTACATGCAAATTCACTGGGCTTTGTAACTGCCTATATTACAGATTAAAAGTAGAATATGGTTTTAATTTATGTATTCCATATGGAGACTCTGGCCCTCCAGGGAACTCAGTTAATCCAGAATTAAATGGGAATTTGAGTTGTTCCCTTGAACTCTTTGCTTTAAGTAAGAACATTGCTGGAATTGCAAGAGAAACACTAGTTACTATGCAAAGAGCCAGCCAGAGTGCAAGTAGAGAAGTATTTCTGGGAATGAGTAATAACAATGTTAGGCCCAAGGAAAATGGGCAGATGGTCCTAGGAAGGTAAATTCACCCAGGTGAAAGGAAAAAGTAATGTAACCTGAGCATTGAGCCCATGGCTATTCTAATTTTGCTGCCATTATTGGCATGCTGATGTGGAAAACCATAATAAAACCCTGGCTTTTGGAAAGTCCTTGTCACTGGGGAAATTACTGCCAACATCAGGCAACTAATTCTTGTGGAATTTTCACTTTGTAATTGGCAAAAAGCCCCCATTTAGTATGCACATACACAAATATGATTCATAATAATACTTTCATAAAAATGTTTAAACTCAGTTTTTCCAATCATGAAGAAATCTGGCTTTCTCTGGCCCAAAAGGAACTTGTTTGTTCCAAAGAACTCGATACCAGGTTCTCTGTAGAGCTTTGCATATTCACAGTACAGAATGACTAACAATCACCTATGTGCTGGCAGAAATAATTTCACTTGTAAATGAAGCCATGAACATTTATAAAGAGTTTATGGTACACCTATCTATATACATATGTTCTAGTCTGTCTAAGAGATAGTAAACCTGGCCTCCACTGCTTAAGAATTTGATCAACTTGATTGATTTTGTTTCCAGAAGTAATTCCATTTAGATTATTGCTTAAGTATGTTACAGAAGTGTAACAAATCCTGAATGAAATTTTCACCACTTATGGGGAATAAAAGGAGCCTTTAAAGAAGTCTCTGACCCTACTCAAATTTAAGGGGAGCAGCAGGCAGGAAAGGAAAGCACACTCTGAAGGCCAGAGGGCAAACGGGCCCACAACACTCTCCTGAAACACTGCAGAGACACTTCAAGGGACCCCAACCCTAAGTCTATATCCCGGTTCCTTTTTTATTGCCAGCTAAACATTAGAATCTGAAACTGATTTTCTTGACTTCTGAATAGCTAAACAATAGAAGCAAATGGCAGTGCTTCAAAGCAACATTAGCAGAGGAAAACAGCTTTCACATCTCAGTATGAAAAAAAAAAACAAAGTAACACTAAAATCAGAGAGGGTGAGACTCCCTGTATTTTAGCATGAGGTCTGCAAAAAACAGACAAGAACTCCTTTGTGAAAAAATGAATTAACTTTTACCAAACAGTTCAAAGGTTTTCTTTTCTTAGATTTTCATCACTATTCATTCATTCTGAATGTTCTTTTTTTCTGGCTATTAATAGAAGAGGTTTTGTTTTTCTTGGTTCTGCTCTCTACAAAAATCACTTCCGAATATTGATGAGCTATGTGTGTAGCATTAAGTGCCTGGTTCTGTGTGCCAACATGCCAGGGCGTACAGATAAAAAACAAAGACATAGTTTTATAAAAGGCTGGCTTTACAGTATGCACATATTTCTGGTTTGTGACTCAAGCCAAAAGCCGATAGGAAATAGAAAGAATTTAAGGGTGACACAGAGATTAACTTCAAAAGACCTACATGTCTCTTCAGGATTCGGCTGGTAATCAAAGCTGAAAGTCAGGGCGCATCCCCGCTCTGTCACTTGATAAGGGAAAAAACTCTCAAATAAGTCCACTCCTCTTTCAATACACTCGAGCACCTCATCTGGCCGACTAACACCACAGATGAGCCTGTGAAAATAATACATACAGTGACATGAGGACAACGCCAGGAATGAAATCAGAGTCTTTCCAGAAGGCATTAACAGTAAATAATAATGAAAATCATGGTTAGCATGGCAGGCAGCAGATAAACAGGTGTAGCGGAAAGACTACAGAGCTTTGGCAGCAGAAACCTGGACTGGAATCTCAACTCTGCCATTTATTTACTTGCTGTGTTACTTTGGGAAGGTTTCTTAACCTCTCTGAGTTTTAGTTTTCCAAATTTTAAAAACAAAAGAATACACATCTCATAGACAGACTGTGAGAATGAATGATGTACTTGAAAAAGCAGAGTGTAGTTTCTGACTCCAAAGAGAAGCTAATAAGGGTTAGTTTTCTTTCTCCCTCATCCCTTCTGAAACAATCTCCAGTCTTGGACTTAATTCTGTAGCCTTTCTATCCACTGCATATGATTGTTTTTTTTAGTGTAAAGCTGTGTGTTTTATTTCCCCTTCAAATACTCTTCCGTGTTTTAACTGTACTTTGCTTATAATTCTTTTTCATTGTTGGCTCAAGAAAGACATTTTTACCTACTGTATTCTTCATAGCCCCATTTACAAAGCAATTCTTACTCTCGGAATTTCAACTCTGCCCACAGGATCCAAGAAACTAGTTAGCTTTCTTTATGCTTCTTCTATATTTTCTCCATTAACAAAATGTCTGCATGGTGGAATGAGATGGTATTTCTAGAGGCAATAGGTAATGCACTCTGAGAGTGCTAATAATATTCAACTAGGTTTTGCCACTAAAACAAGATGGGGAGATGCAATAGATCAGGGCTGGCTGGCTGCTATTTTTTAATGTTTGTTTTTTTGCTCATAGTCCCTTTTATAAACTAGCAGAGAAAAGCTTATAGACTCCCTGATTTCTAAAAGAAGTCCAAAAAAAGGCTTATGTAATATTAAACAACCAGAACCCTTAAATATATGCTGGTTTTTCTGACTACAGTTTCCTTCAAGTAATGTCATGTTTTTAGAACTCCTCTCCAACTGAAGCTGGCATTTCTACACACTTAAGAGAAAGAAAAACAATCCCAGCTTTCAAATCCAGTAACAGACATCTGTGAGCATTTAATTCAAAAGAAGTCCAGAAAATGACTAGAAATACTAGTGCTGAATTGTCATCTGCACCCAAATGAAATAAGCACAGGAGGGAAAGCAATGAACACAGAGGACTAGGATAAAACTGGGGCGAGGGTGGGGAGAATGCTGGCTAGGGTGCTGGAAATATCTTGTTCTGGCTGGTGTTTACAAGCATATACAGGAATAAAAATTCATCAAGGCATGCCTAAAATCCATAAACTTAACTGCAAGTTATACCTGGACCTTTTTAAAAAAAGTAGTAAAATTACATACATATATATATAACTCAGGGTGTCCCATGTGGCTCAGACCATTGCAGGTAAAGAATCTGCCTGCAATGCGGGAGACCTGGGTTTGATCCCTGAGTTGGGAAGATCCCCTGGAGGAGGGCACGGCAACCCACTCCAGTATTTTTGCCTGAACAATCCAATGGACAGAGGAGCGTGGCGGGCTACAGTCCACAGGATTGCAAAGAGTTGACACAACTGAGTGATTAAGCATAGCACACATAATATTACTCATCAGCCCGAGGGATATAAGCATTACCCCAAAATCAAACCTCTTAATGTATCTCCAGGAAAAAAAAGCATGACTATTCATACCAACTGGGATAAAAGACTACAGTCTTTTTAAAAAAAATAAAAAATGTGGATAGTCTGGTAAGACATCAGCTGTACGCAGAAACTTACAGATTTTTTTGCCTTAAAATCTTGCAGATCACTCTTCTCTCCAGCACATAGTAAATCCTGTGATGGATGGAAACAGCCAGCCCCACTCAGGTTGCCAGTTCCCTCAATTTCAAAAAATACTCCTCCTCACTACCTGCCTCAAATCTAAGAACCTCTTAAAGGTCCTTATTGATAGAATCCGTCTTCATTCCACTGGGGATCCCAAATCTGTCCTCAGCTTTCTGTGATTTAGGCCAGAGTGCCATGTGACTTTCTACCTGTCCCAAGGTTATAATGGATAAAGAACATTATTTATATTTGGCACAAGAATGAGGGGGAATAATATAACACTTGCCCTCACTTATAAGAATCAAATAAACTAACTCACATGGCACCGTTCTCTGGCCCACATTCTAAAATCAAAGGCAAGACGGGCTTGATGGAAACTCCCCCAAGCAGACTCAGCCCAGAAAGAACATAATCAAAACATCAAGACACGCCCATGTAGAGACTGCATACTACACTGCACATTCTGTAGCCCACCAGGCTTGGCCTGCATCCTCCTGAACACTAGCCTTGGTTTGTCCTCCGGCAGCTCTGCAGTGACTGATGACAGCAAGTGCAGTCTAGTCTCCAGGGTCACTGGATTCCCCTGAAAGCCATCCAGAAGGAAGCCGCCAACAGGCCGCTTGGCTGTTTCTCGAGCCGACCTCAGCCTCTCCTCCGTCACGTCTCCACCTTCGATCACTCCAATGATTGAACTTTTCTGGAGGACCTAAGGTGAGAAAGGATTGAACATTTTTAACTGTTTTCAGTAGTGGAGACCTCTGTTTAAACGAGCATTAGTTACCAGAAGCCCCCTGGAGAGATGAAATCTCAGTTGAAGCATGCAGGGGGATGGCACCCTCTCCTTCCTGAGAACCTTTAGGGTTCCAAAGAACACAATCTGAAAGCCATTCAACGAGGTAAGAAAAGACTGAAGAGAAACTGAGACAATCAACATAGGCAGTCATGCTTTAGCTTAAACACACACCAGGCAGGTACAAGAGGAAAAGAACAAAAGCAACAGCTTTCATTTGTAGAAATGGTTCTCCTGGTCTACTCTAGGCTACTTCTAAGTCTCTTAGGACTCACAGACTTAGAAAACAAACTTATAGTTGCCAGGGCAAGGGATAGTTAGGGACTTTGGGAAGGTCATGTATACACTGCTAACTTTAAAATAGATAACCAATGAGGTCCTACTGTATAGCCCATAGAACTCTGCTCAATGTTATGTGCCAGCCTGGGTGGGAGTGGAGTTTGGGAGAGAATGGATACATATATACGTATGGCTGAGTCCCTTTGCTGTTCACCTGAAACTATCACAACATTGTTAATTAGCTATACCCCAATACAAAATAAAAAGTTTAAAGTTTGGGGGGGGAAAAAAAAATCTCTTAGTTATAAATAACATTAGGAACTGTGACACTGTTTGGCTGGGACAACTGATTACCTATTTGGAAAAAGATAAAACAAAAATTAGTACTGTACACCATTCTCAAAAATAACTTCCCGATAGCCCTAAAGATCTAAGCATAAAAGATATAGTTATATAAGTATTAGAAAAACAGATTAAGTATTTTTATACTCTTGGGATAAGGTAGGCCTTCCAAAGCAAGATAAAGCTTTGGAAGGAAAAGGCAGACATAATTGAGCACAGAAACATTAAAAAAAATCCCTAGTGAAATATACTATCAACAAAGGTAAAGGGGAACTTACTCTTTGGAGGGATAGCTAAATGTCTACACCATGGACAAAGCTCCAACAAATCCTCTAAGCAAAGGACAGCCCTACAGACATCTAGGCAAATATGTGAATATGAACTTTAGAAAAACACATCCGGAGAGCTTACTAAATCTCACAAGGAAATGAAACCTGGAAATAATTAGATACCATTTTTGCCCATCACACTGACAGAAAAGTCAAAAGATAAAAAGCAAAATAGTGGAGGTAAAAGGGTTAGAGAAATGGCACTTACATACCCTGACAACTACAGAGAATAAAAATTAGTTCAGCCTCTTGCTAGGGCAAGCATACAACACTTACCAAAATGTCAATACTTTTATCTTTATACATTCTAAAATTCCACTTCTATCACCTACAAATATAGTTTATTTTTGGTGCATATGAAACAAAGATGTTTAGAATAATGAAAAACTGGAATCAGGCTAAACATCCATCAATAGAGTAGAGGCTTAAGTAAAGTATAATATGTTCATAGTATGGCTTCCTACACAGTTGTTCTAAAAAGAAAGCAGAATGTATAGTAATACATACACTAACAGGAAAATAATTTTCAAGACATTGTTAAATAAAAACAAGCAAATTCCTGAAAAGATGATCATATTCATGTAATAAAAAACCAGAGGCATGCATATATGTAATAATTATGTGTATGTAACTATAAAAAATAAGGTTTACAAGGAAAAATACCAATCAACAGTGGCTCTTCAATAGAAGAAGTGGGTGGGAAGGGAGCCTGGAAGGCTATAAAGTGGCTAAAAGGCTATATTCATCCGGCTTCTTGATTTAAGCATGAGGAACATAATCAGACTATTCCTCCAGAAACAAGACTTAAGCTGCTGTGTGGAGAGTGAACTGAGGGTGAGTGTGGTTAAAGGATGGAGTAGAGATGACCTGAATCATTGGGGAAGACAAAGAGGATCTTGACTGAGGCAGTAGCAATGGAGTGAACAGGAGAGAGAGGATCTGCAACCTCGTCAGGAAGAACAATCAACAACTCAATACAACCTGACTGCTGAGTTTCCTGGGGAGAGGATGAGGACAAAAATAGGATGACTCCTGGCTCCTATTTCAGATGTCCAGGGAGATGATGAGAATAGCCAAGACAGGGCATCCTAGGACACCAGTGGAGGGTGAGGGAAGATGATTCTGAGTTTGAGGTATCAGCCACTGAAGATACGGAATAAAAGTTAGGGCAATGTATATACTGGTGCGACTGCCCAGGCTAGACAGCAGGAGGTGCTTGGCACGGGCCTGCCACTCCCCTCACCTGCTGCCATGCTAGACACAGCCAAGAGACTCTCCTCACCCTGCTGCACTGTGCACAGCTCTGAGCACCTTGAGATGAAACTTATTTACCATCCCTGGCCTCGGGAATACACGCAGAAGGAAGGAAAGCTGACGAGAGAATCTTGAGGAGCTTCAGTGCTTAAGGGCATTCAGAATAAGAGGATTCAATGGATAAGAGGAAAAAATCACAGACAGAGGAAAAGATGCTTGCAGACATACAAAGCAGACATTCACACAGGCCTGTTCCTTTACGTGATTGGCACAGACCCATCTAGGAACTCGTTTTCATGGGTATAAGAAGTGTAACCACCAGGGACTTGCCTGGTGGTCCAGAGGTTAAGAATCCACCCTTCAATGCAGGAGACACAGGTTCAATCCCCAGCCAGGGAAGTAAGACCCCATTTGCTGCCAGGCAACTAAGCTTTAACACCACAATTAGAAAGCCCGCGTACCACAACCAAAGATCTCGTGTGCCACAACTAAGACCCGATACAGCCAAATAAATAAGTAAATTTTAAAAAAGTATAACCGTATTGTCTAAAATGGAACACACTTAAGAGTAAAAGGGGGCACTATCAATAATCATGTCAAGAAAACAGCATAAGGGGTACAGAGAGGGACCCGAGCATTTGCCCAGCCCACAAGAATAATGTGAAATGGTGTGGCTGACAACACACAAGAGGGATTTGAGGCTCATCTGGCCTTTCTAATAATCACACTCTGTCACTCTCCCTGTCCTCCTTTCTACTCATCCAAACATTTACTCATCCTACAAGGATAATTACTGGCTGAAAACAATTGCTAGCAAATAACTGGTAGCAGAGCTAACAATTCAGAGCCGCAGCAATGTCCCCACGCTGAACCCTTGCTTAGATGCTGAGAGTTCTATCAGAATGACAAGTAAGCTTCCTCTAATTATTTCATGTATATTAAGTTGATTAGCCAAAGTACATTTTTTATTAGTAAACTCACAATAATGATCTTTCTCAAACTCCATGTGTTTTGCCACAGTGGGGCCTGCTAGTGGCTCAGGATTCCTCTATACAAATGACCAGACACTAAAAGTCTCTCCTCTGATCGCTATCTCCTACTCTCCCACTTCCTCTGCTCTCTCCTAATGACTGCCTTCCTTTCCAGCTTTATAACTCCGCTATCAAGGTCCCTTATTCACTGCTACAGCTTCATCTTTCCCAGCTCACGAGATGATGAGGTTACTATGCCTTCAGGATATAGAGTCAGAAGGGGTACTTTCCAGACATATGTAGGGAACTGGAGTCAGGGTGGAGTGAACAACTGAATATTAACTCGATACTAAAAAGGGTCTTGAAAGACTCAAATCTCTGGGCAGAGGAATTAGGGACTGTCACACAGGGAGAACAGTGCTGAAGGAGAGCCAGAGGAAGAGCAGGTGTGAGGAGAGGAGATACTGAGTTTGTTCCCTGAGTCTGAGGTGCAGGAGAGGAACAGTCTAGTGAGAGAACGTGGCGAAGGCCTGTGGCTGTGTAACTCTGAAGCTAAGGAGAGTGATCTTGGTCATACACACAATTTTAGAATTTTCAGCAATTAAAACTAAGGGGAGCTTCCCAGAGAGAACATATAGTGTGGGGTGAAAAGAGAGCCTAAGACATCCTAGAGAGCAATAAAACATTCAGAGAAGAAGAGGAAATCAGGAGAATCAAAGAGACCAAGAAGTGAAGAGCAAGAAACAGGAGGAGGGGCAGAAAGGGCGGTATCACGGAATGTAAATTAGCTCGAGTTCCAGGAGAAAGGCCTGGTGAGTGGGACGGCTTTACCTCTGACTCTTCCTGTAGCTTCAGACAATTATCCAGGAAGAGAAGCGATCGGTCAACAGACTTTCTGGCTCTTTTTATGGAAGTTGCTTCATCGCAAGTTGCCTCTCCATCCGAAAGGCACTGGAACCAGTCTGGCTGAAGGGCCTGCTGAATGGCCATGAACTTGGAGGCAGTCATTTCTACTCGTCCTCCAACACCCCACACAGACACTGACTGCCACGGAACAAGGTGAGACGAATTAGCAAGAGTAACATGCAAATAAAAAGAAAATAATAAAATGATTAAAGCAATTCTGAATTCAATTCTTCTTTACAGCTGGAGAGATGGTGGCAATTCAACCTCTAGACATGGTGGGTAAAGACGTTTCCCATACCATATTCCAAATTTTCTAAGGACCTGAGAGCTCATAGTGTACTTCAATGTCCATTCAAGCCAACTTCTCAGTTATTGCCCAAGAATTCTGTGACTACTTTTCCAGAATCCTAGTCTTTCTCTCTCTTCCACTCCATGCTGTTTCTGACTACACCACAGACTGATTTTTTTGTCTTTCAACACACTATTCCTTTTGATTGAGATGGCCTTCCCCTACTTCTTTGCCTGGTAAAATACTATTCAAGACATAAGAGTTTAGATGCCATCTTCTCTACTGAGTTCCCCAAACTTTACTAGGCAAAATCAATTGCTCACTCTTATAAGCTCTATCAGCAATTTGTATTTATTTCTTTCATAGAAAAGATAGCCTTTATCACACCATTGTATATTTGTCTGAAGCAAGTATCTAATATCACGGTTGTGCCCCAAACGCAATCTGGGCCTCACACATTATGAATGTTTCCGTTCAGTTCAGTTCAGTTGCTCAGTCATGTCCGACTCTTTGCGACCCCATGGACTGCAGCATGCCAGGCTTCCCTGTCCATCATCAACTACCAGTGTTTACTCAAACTCATGCCCACTGAGTCAGTGATGCCATCCAACCATCTCATACTCTGTCATCCCCTTCTCCTCCTGCCTTCAATCTTTCCCAGCACCAGGGTCTTTTCAAATGAGTCGGTTCTTTGCATCAGGTGACCAAAATATTGGAGTTTCAGCTTCATCATCAGTCCTTTCAGTGAATATTCAGGACTGATTTCCTTTAGGATGGACTGGTTGGATCTCCTTGCAGTTCAAGGGACTTTCAAGAGTCTCCAACACCACAGTTCAAAAGCATCAATTCTTCGGCACTCAGGTTTCTTTATAGTCCAACTCTCACAACCATACATGACTACTGGAAAAACCATAGCCTTGACTAGATGGACCTCTGTTGGCAAAGTAATGTCTCTGCTTTTTAACATGCTGTCTAGGTTGGTCATAACTTTCCTTCCAAGGAGTAAGCGTCTTTTAATTTCATGGATGCAGTCACCATCTGCAGTGATTTTGGAGCCCCCAAAAATAAATTCAGTCACTGTTTCCACTGTTTCTCTATTTGCCATGAAGTGATGGGACTGGATGCCATGATCTTTGTTTTCTGAATGTTAAGCTTTAAGCCAACTTTTTCACTCTCCTCCTTCACTTTCATCAAGAGGCTCTTTAGTTCTTCTTCACTTTCTGCCATAAGGGTGGTGTCAGCTGCATATATGAGGTTGATACTTCTCCCGGCAATCTTGATTCCAGCCTGTGCTTCATCCAGCCCAGTGTTTTTCACAATGTACTCTGCATATAAGTTAAATAAGCACGGTGACCATACACAGCTTTGACGTACTCCTTTTCCTATTTGGAATCAGTCTGTTGTTCCATGTTTAGTTCTAACTGTTGCCTCCTGACCTGCATACAGATTTCTCAGGAGGCAGGTCAGGTGGTCTGGTATACCTGTCTCTTTCAGAATTTTCCACAGTTTATTGTGATCCACACAGTCAAAAGCTTTGGCACAGTCAATATATAAAGCAGAAATAGATGTTTTTCTGGAACTCTTGTGCTTTTTCGATGATTCAACAAATGTTGGCAATTTGATCTCTGGTTCCTCTGCCTTTTCTAAAACCAACTTGAACATCTGGAAGTTCACAGTTCACGTATTGTTGAAGCCTGGCTTGCAGAATTTTGAGTATTACGTTACTAGCGAGTGAGATGAGTGCAATTGTGCAGTAGTTTGAGCATTCTTTGGGATTGCCTTTCTTTGGGATTGGAATGAAAACTGACCTTTTCCAGTCCTGTGGCCACTGCTGAACTTTCCAAATTTGCTGGCATACTGAATGCAGCACTCTCACAGCATCATCTTTAGGGTTTGAAATAGCTCAACTGGAATTCCATCACCTCCACTAGTGCTGTTTGTAGTGATGCTTCCTAAGGCCCATTTGACTTCACATTCCAGGATGTCTGGCTCTAGGTGAGTGATCACACCATCGTGATTATCTGGGTTGTGAAGATCTTGCCACCTCTTTTTAATATCTTCTGCTTTTGTTAGGTCCATATGCAGTCTGGGCCTCACACATTATGAATGTTCACTCATTAGGCATAGTTACAGAATTATATGCAAAGACATAAATCTCATAGTACACAAGAATCTCTGTATGTTCCTTTGGTTACTGCTTCCCCTACAGTGTCTCTCTTCTTAGAATAGATGTATGTAACTGGAGGACCACATACAATCTTTTTCATCCTGCATAACACTGTTTGAATGAATCCGTTCTCCCTTATAAATGGAATAATTGAGGTCAAAATATTTTCTTTTGAATTCAAATTGCAAAATAGAAAGAAGTGTAAAACAGAAGACAAATTTTAAAAAAGTTATCTTACGTAAGATTAATAGACATTGTTGATATCAATAAAGTGGGTGAAGAAAAGAGTAACTATGTTTGTGAAGTAGCAGTATATACTGAAGTCTTTCCATAACATTGTCCTCTGGGACAATGCAGTGGAGCTGTATCTCAGATTAAAACTTTTAATGAAGTCCTCTAGATACTGTTTTTGACTAGCTAAAATCTCTGGCTATGGATCCAGATTTTTCAAATTCTGTTCTAAACAGCAATATTATACTGAAGTCCTACTATATATAGTTATACATGTGATAACACTCATCAGCAACTTCCCCTACTTTTCCTGAGGTTGTTAAAACTGCAAATAAAGCATGGTACCAAAAGACTATTTTTTTCTACCATTATAGCAATTTCTTTTTTGGGCATGTACTTGACCTTTCTCTCCTCCCAAATTTTTGGTAACAGTAAAAAAGCTGAGGATATATTCCTTACCTTAACTCATCTGTGGGCTGCCCTATAAACCACACCATCCCACTATAGTCATACAAACAAAGAGAAGGCATAAAGGGATCTGGAATGGGTCAGCATCCCAGGCAGTGGAAACCTGGCATCTGAGGGATCCAATGGGCTGACTTCCTGAGACAAAGCTTCAGCCTTGAAGGACCTTCTGAGAACATACCTTATTTGTTACATAACCAGCTGGGCACGGGCTGACTGGATCATGCAGAGAACAGTACAACAGCGATTCCGGCATGCCTGTATAAACAAAAAAGAACCCCTGAAAGCACTTCCATCAGCAATGACACGGTGCTGTAACTGAGAGCAGCTTCATAATGTGGCTTCATATCCAGCAGGGCAGATAAAGTAACGCTAAAACAGAGTAAATTGCCCACACCCGACCTCAGAATTGTAGGAAGCCTGTCAACATGAATGAAGATTATTTTGAAACCTACAAACCCAAAAGAAGAATTAAACATTCATGTCTAATAACACTGAGTTGCTACAAAGGAAATGTATAACCAGAAGCATGATACAATGAAAAGTGATTAACGAAATATTGACCCTACTTGATTTACTTTGAAGAAAATAACATTAAGTTCATTCTCAATAAGGTACCATCCAAGGTGAACTTGCTACTGGAAAGATGAAATTATACAGCCAACAGGTAACATTATTAATAATAAATGGAGCCTACATCATGGGTCCCTAGGGACAGAATTATAGAAAAACTATAGGACACTGCAAATGGATCTCCTTTTCAGTAAGTTTCATTGACTCAAGATGACAGTTTCTTAGGTTTTTTTAATCAAAAAGACATTCATTTAAAAAAACTGTTTAGTAATCATATGTACTTAAATTTCATATGCCACATTTTCATAGGAAAAAAACAGGATTTTGCTGAAGACCAAAAATATAAAGCAAACAACAAAAATCTCTGCAGTTCTCCACCTTATTTTCTACAATTTCAATTATTATAATTATCTCTAGATAGCTTATATTAGCTATTTTCACTTAAATTATATGCTTGGATATTTTAAAGCCAGTTATTAAAATTGGTCTCAGATCAAGGGAAATGGTATTATATCAATTCCTCTACGGAGATTACAGGCCCTTGTGACAACCAAGTCATCGTGCAGGCTCCCTCAGAAACAGCAAGACTGAATAACCAATGGAAACGGATTTTCAGTCACTTAAGTGAGTCCCAGACACTGAGGAAAAGCTTCAGAAGAAAACTGTTTGGAGAAGAGTTGGTTCTCTGGCTATCACTGCTAAGCTTGTCCTATAAATAAATGGATACATATACTGGGATTTAAAATCCTATTTCTGGAACAGAAGACAATATTAACATATCAGAATATAGGTGAATATAAACTCTTCATCCTCTGCTGTGTTTTAGGCTCAAACATGACAAGCCTGCTTTGGGTCTTAGGTGTGTTCCATGCAGTCCCTCACCTCTAGGTCTCTGCTCTCCTCCTGGAGGGTCAGCCTAAACCTGTCGACCATCACCACTATACCCACCTCCTAACCTTGCTTACTCCTACTCCTCCTTGACCCACGAGATCTCTATTCTGACCTCCGTTCACATGGACTCTATAGCAGGTTATATGTTCCTCCCTCTAGGTTCTCACCATACATGTACCTACTCCCGATCCTGCAAATGCAGTCACCACACTCTGTTAGAACTACCTGTTTATCTTAATGCCAACTAGGCTCTGAGTTTCATTAGGGCAGTTAATTGTTTCCCACTCATCTTTGAATCCCCAATGCCTATTCTTAGATGCTCAATAAATGCATATTATATTTATGATTGAGTAACTGTATACATAAAGAGTCAAAAAACAAAAAGCATCTTCAACCTCCAAATTAATACACCAGAAGGCACACGCAAAAGCTTGATTAACTTTTACCTATGAACTTTCCAACTCCTTCCTTATATTCTGCCAAGACTTCATGATGTTCTGCCCTATAAGAAAATAGAAAAATATGTAACATAATAATGAATCATTCTACAGATACTCTATGCAGCAACTGAAGCCTCCTCTCCTCAGCCAAATGAGCCACATGACAGTAAGTATAGTCTCAAAACACCAAGTACACATATTGAGGAGTCCCCACTCATTAGGTTGAGTTTATTAGCCAGGACGAAGGTCTTTAATTTGCAAGTGGCTCTGTGAGAAAGAGAACCTAGCAAAGATCAAGGGCTTCAGAATATCTAGATTTTCTTCTTCCCCTTGTTCCTTTAAAATGACTGTTACTAATACAATCTTACAGAGTAATTTGATCAAATAGCAGATTTTTCAATTAGGGATAACGTCAGTATGTACATGACACAAAATGACCTCACTCTATTAGTTCTGTTACCCTAGAGTAGAACTGGCAAGTACACATGCAGAGACAGGAAACTCTGAGGCTGGTGCATGAAGACAGCCCTGCGGTCTCAAGTTTAGCCCTGATGGGGCATTATGGGCACCATCACCCCTGGGAGCGGCAATGTAGGCGGTATGGAAAAGCGAAGAAGCTCTAACATGTAGGTCCGGCCTGTGCCCTCCATATTATGGTCAGATGATGTATAATATTTGATATCTCTCTTCTGATTTCACTATAAAAAGCCTACACATTCTGTATACAGAAGCAAAAAAAGTCTTTCTCTTTACTGCAACTTAGTAAGGAAACCAAGCTGCTGCTAAAGTTGACATGTGAATGATCAGGTCTCATACTTACAGTGAAGATAGTGTAAGCTGAGCCATGACAGGAACCCTGTGGATTTTATGCAGCGTGTGATGGGTCAGGTGAGGGGCGGAGCCAGCTTTGGTGTATAGAAGGCAGCCTGGGATGTCCATGGTGTGGTCCCCTGTTTTGCCAAGGTTTTTTATTTTTCCAAGGCGACAGCCATTAACCACCTTGGTAAGATTTAGCTTCATTTTAAAGGGATTCCTCTAAGTCCTGATAAGAAAAGAACATTACATTCAGAAGTTCCATGATGGCCAAAGGCTAAACATTTTTGAAAGAAAGCAACTTACAGAAAAATAAATATGTTTCATATACTTCCCAGTCTAGAATTTTTTTAGATATCAGGAATAGGGGGATAGGAAATGACAGAGAGAATAAGATACCTTTCCCAAAGTCACAGAGCAATATGATGACATCAACCACATTTAAATTCAATCAGGGAAGTTTTGTCTCAGCTGATGAAAACCAAACAAATGGAAGGACAGAAGTAAAGACTAATCATGGGAAGAGCACTCTGAAGCCAAGGCTTACTCTCAGCTTTGAAAATGTGTATACAGAAAGGTCACACTGCTTAAGAAATACTGTTTTGACCTATTTTTTCTTTCTCTGATTTGAGAGGATTCTAGGCAACATAGTAAATCTTCCTAACAGGTAATTAAATGAAGAAAACAGGTTCCAAGGCAGCATTCCACTGTTTATTAAAATATATGGAAGAATATATAGGCTTCACAGGTGGCTCAGTGGTAAAGAATCTGCCTGCCAATGCAGGAGTTCAGGAGCCTCGAGTTTGATCCCTGGGTCAGGAAGATCTCCTGGAGAAGGAAATGGCAACCCACTCAAGTATTCTTGCCTGAAAAATCCCATGGACAGAGGAGCCTGGCAGGCTATAGTCCATGGGGTCGCAAGAGTCAGGCACAACTGAGCATGCATTCATGGAAGAATATATATGAACAAATAAACAGAGATTACCTCTGAGAAGTGGGATTATTTTCCAACCTTGTTCTTTTAAAAACAGAGGTGAGAAACTGTGGTGCATCGATGCAATTCACAAGCAAAGTTGCTTTTACAATTGGAAAGGAAAAATATTTGATTAAAAAAAAAGATACACTTTCTAAATTCCACAGATACACAAGGGGGAAAAAAAATCAGAAAACATTGTCAATTACTTTGTTGGATTGTCTTATTATTCAGTAAAGCAAATCCCAGGCTCCAATTCCTTAAATGCCCTGTAAAACTTGGTAAACAGGCATGGCAGATCATTTGCAAACTTTCACTGGATATCCAGCATTCTGAAATACCAGTGTCTCTACAGAAAGCACTATATCCTCTCAAATTTTTGCAAGTTAGGCAAGACCCAGTTTTATTAATAGATAAATTAACATGGCTCTCTGAATGGTTCCAACCTTAGATCCTATCCCCTTAAGCACTACATTAAACCACACTGAAAGTCAACCATTGTTTAAAAGATGTTTTACCAAATAAAGTATTATCTATCATGAGTTAAAAGATATTCAGAAATGCAAATATTCCTTTCTTGGGAGTCATAAATTCTTATATTGAAATAAAATAATTAATCCTTGTGGAATTTGGAAATAAGAATAACTACTTTCTATATGGTTCAATAAGTGATTTCATGTTAAACATGAATTATATTTGGCAGAAACCAACACAATATTATAAAATAATTACCCTCCAATTAAAAAAAATTTTTTTTAAAGATATGAGTATTTCAGGAAAGGCTGGTCAATTTTCTATGGCTCAACCTTCATTATTTCAAGTTATCACAAATACAGACATAAAAATAACTCTGGGGATTTCCCTGGTAGTCCAGTGGTTAAGACTTTGCCTTCCAAAGCAGATGATTTGGGTTCAATCCCTGGTCAGGAAGCTACGATCTCACATGCCTCGAGGCCAAAAACCCCAAAAACATAAAAGAATATTGTATCAAATTCAATGAAGACTTTAGAAATGGTCCACATCAAAAAAAAAAAAAAATCTAAAAAAAAATCTCATTGGAACCCACACAAATAGAGAGTATTAGAGGCCTTCTGTTGTGGCTCAGGTGGTAAAGAATCTGCCTGCAACGTAAGAGATGCAGATTCAATCTCTAGGTGAGGAAGATCCCTTGGAGGAGAAAATAGCAGCCCATGCTAGTATTCTTGCCTGGAGAATTCCATGGTGGGCTACAGTCCATGGGGTCACAAAATGTTGGACATGACTAAGCCACTTTCAAGGGAAAAAACTTATGCTTTAACAAAAGGTAATATAAAAGCTACTTTTTATAAAACTGTGTTATTACATATTAAAACTGTTAAAATAAAAGGAAGTTTATACCAAAAAATTAAATACATTTACAGGCTAATAAGAATGTAACAAAAAATACAAGAGAAGAGTCATCAGTTTACAAAATCATATTTCTTATTGATTTATCAAATAATACACATAATCTTCTGATTTCAAGTGATAAAAATAGTTTTGAAACTAACAGAGCTCTGAAACCATTTATAGCAAAGTTAAAGAATGTATTTTGCAATCTAAGTTCTAGAGAATTAAAGCAGGGGGAAGCATGAAGGTGAGAAATTCACTTTAAAGTTAATTAATCAACCCTATTATTCTATTAGAATCAACTAACAAGGAACAATAGGTTTTTGAGACAAAAATAAGAATTAATGAAAATTTACTGGAACAAGGTTACTAACAGGGCAAGAACTTAGCACTTACTACTCACACACATCTGAGAATGTAAGAAACTGCACTGTCCCACATATTTTCAGAAAGGCCTAAAGAGAAGAATTTGCTGGTTCCTCCACTTACTCCAAAAATTCTGTCTCATCTGTTTAAGCTTTGTCAAAGAGTTCAATGTATATACATGAGTTGACCATATAAAAGTAGAAACAGCCTTTATTGGATAAAACTAGCATGTTTGAAAAAATGAAGTTTAAGACTAGAAGGCTACCAATTTTTATTATTACTCCTCCTCATCAAACCCTTTCATTTTTCCAGTTTATTAATAAATCGGACTGACAAAGCTGCTGACAAGCATAAGACAATGTGCTTTTCCATATCAAGCTAACTCAATTTCAGATAAAAACAATCTACAACTCTTTAGCAAACCTCTGTTTAACACCCCAGGTAATGAGTGATTGCCATTAGACTTTAGAAATGCTGAGAATAGTTAAGTCTGACCATTACTACCAGAGACGCTGAACGGGAGAGCTCGTCATGAACTTGATGATCCCCTCTGCTGTTCCACAACCAGGACTCTGAGGCTAAGTGAGATTAATCAGAGTCTAGAACCCAGGTCTCTACCACGAGGCCTCTGCTTTTGATTACATCTTTGAAGTGAGAGTAACACAATGTTTGTATATACATATCTCCTTTTGCCACTCTTTCTTCAATCAAAGAAACAGCTTCCTTCATCCTTAACCCAAGGTCAGTTATTACAGATCTGTGTTAGTTCTAGCAGACATCAGCCACTGTGCTCTTAGATGCATGTGCTCTTAGATGCAGAGATGGGTTCTCCTGTGATATGATGTAAAGTTTAATCTCCAAACCTTTAAAGATGAAAATCACTGTCCTCAGCTTAGTGTCCTGAACCCACTAGGTCAGCTAGAGAGAAATACCCACTTGGTTTTCTCCACAGTATGAGACTCTGATGGAATGCACTCACATTCTGCTGTTTAGGGTTTCTTAAGAGTCCTACCCTAAACAGTGAATGGACACAGCATCAAAGGAAAAAGTAAGCGAGGTAAAACAGACAATTGGGTTTACGGAAAAGCATTCCAATAGATAAACTGCTAGTGGTGATTCTCTGTATTGTGAGGATAAATGCAAATATTAAGAAATATGAGGAAAGCATCAGAATGTATTTTACCCAGAAATCAATATTTAAAAAATAACATGCAACTTTGTCCTGCTTTGAACCCAGCTTTCCTCTCCTAATTACTGGTCAATTTGTGGTTAGTATTTTTATAATTGCACCTCTTTTCTAGCGGCTCAAACACAAAAATCTTTTATTACAGAGTAATGTAAATATAATATATACACACATACACATAGTTTTAAAATGTTTTTGGAGTGATATAATCTACTACTCCAAGCAAAGTTCTCAAGAAACAAACCAACAGTCTCCAAAGTATTAAATGGTTTTTACTTGGCCCTTTTCCTTTTCACTTGTTATAAGTCTCTTCTAAGATATCTGGGGTTACACTTTTCTTGGTATACAAACATCCACACTTCACTTCCTGGTTAAGTCTTAACCATTAGAAGAGCCATTTGGAAATAATGGTTAGTGGAAAAACTCTTAATCACTTTAAGGACAAGTAGTCATACCTTTACAAGGGCTAACCAAGATTCCCTGCACCTGTGGCAGCACTGTACCTGTCTTAACACCTCCACTGTCACGTATTTCTCCCCTCCCTCTATTCCCTTATGAAAGAAGGGATTTTTTTTTTTTTTAATGTTTCTTAATGGATTCTCTACATACTATCATGGGAAGATGACTTCAATATGTTGAGGGAAAAGAGCAAGCTTAGGTGAACATATTTTTTGCAAAAGAAAAATTGCATATATATATTTATAAATATACACACAAATACACACTCTACACTGTCTGTACGTGCATATTAAAAAGTGTGAAGGACTTCTAAACAATATGGTGCACTGAGCTAACTAAGAGCCTGTATTTTAATAGGCTGGTAGTCTGTTAGAAGTCTCATCTTGTCCATAAACATATGCAATGCTTACATACTAACTGTAATGTTAAGACATAATTTTCAGTCATATTTTCCATTTTGCTATAGTGTTATTGGTGGCATTCACTGAGCTTAATTTACCCGTTGAAGCTAACTACTTTATGATATTGCATAGCTTGGATGTAGCAGAATTTAATCAACCATCACCCTTTCAATGAAAACTCGTTACAGAGCAGGTCCTATGATTGGTGCAGTAGTCTGAGGGCAAAGCTTCTCTGATCTTTCACAAATCTCAAGTCTAGTTTACGTTTCCAAGTAGAGGTCTCTGCATACACTGATTTTTACTGGGTACCACACTCTTAATGATTTAGGTACTATTGCTCCCATTTGAGTAAACCGAGGGTCCGAGAGTTATTAAACATGTTTCTAAGGTCATACGACTACAAAATGACTGGGTCCAAAGCTGCCGATCTAAATCTCTACTCTGCCTTATGAACCTACATATCCCAGCATGGACAGTTCCCGGGAACACCTAGGCTCATTCAATAACGACGGACTTAGCTTCACTCCATGGGCCATCTCCAGGGACCCCAGACTTCGCGGAGTGCTTAGCTCAGGTGTTCGAGATCGGTCCAACCCTTCCAAGCATCCTGAACAATCTAGAAAAACTTCCGCATGGGAACTTGACCCTTAAACAGACCCTTCCTTCCTGTTGAAAGGAGACACTTTTCTCTCTGAGATGAGGTGAGGCCACACGATTTGGGAGAATCTGGATTTACAGGAGCCAGGACCCACCAGGAGACCCCGAAAATGAAAGACATGGCGGGAGGACAATCAGAGTTACTGCAACACAACCTGGAAGGGTCGAGACGCGACGTGACGCGACTCTCTCACAGCAGCCCCCACTCATTCGAAGTAGGGAAGGGAGGTACTTACGTGCAAACCTCCCAACTTTAGGGAACTTGAAACTCCCTAGTTTCTCTCCTTTCGCTACCACGTGTCCAGCTTGCAAAATTCTCTGCCCGAACCACCGCCTCCCATGCCAGAGCCAATCAGGGAACACTGCGTCATCACGAGGCGCAAGGAAAAGGCAAAGGTAACTGCAAAGCGAACACTGGTGATTGGGAGGCGGAGGAACCGCTACCGTTGCCATGGGTAACTGAACCGGCTTGTTCCGCCTGGGCAAAGCCTCCTGGGAGTGGTGGTTCGGCTGCGCCCCACGCCTACCTCCCTTGTGGGCAGAGGAACTACAACTCCCACGGAGACTCGGAGGCAGCCTAGGCAAAGGAGTGGTTGTTCAGCTTTGGCCTTGGTCCGTGCCTGAACCTGGAAAATGTTGCTGGCGCCCCAGGACAAGTCCTCCTCCAGGAAGAGGACGGGGCTGAATCGCTGGAAACAGTTTACGAGGAAGCCGAATCCCACCAAGGTGATCCATTCCTATCGGGAGCTCGTGGGGAGAGGCGGGGAGGCGGGGACCATCCCTGAGGACAGCTACAGCGCTACCTGCGCTTCCTTCCTCTTCCCTCAGGGGCATCCTTACCTGGCCGGTCCTAGTCAGGACCGACCCTGTGTCTGCATTGCCCTAATGAAGGGGGCCTAGGGATTTGGGGGATTGGTTGCCTTACGGCTTTGATGGGCAGCGTCGTGAAAGAACCGTTTCAATCTAACGCTTTTCTCAAAAACCGGAGAATCTTTAATAGTACCCATCCCAGTGAAAAGAATTCCAGAGCTATTCCTTCATCCCACAACGCCTGTTTTAGGGAAGTCCCCGCAAGGTTTCATTTCTTTTTCTTCTTCTTTTTTTTAATGTTTTGCAAGTCATGGGAACCTGTTCTTTATTGAAGGGATAAGATTTTCACCTTAAATCCTCTATCTCATATTCCCTCTCCTAGTTTTACATAAAGTCTGTAAAATGAACTCAGGAATGTAAGTGGATATTGAATATATCAATACTTAATTCACTTGAAAATCTTTAAACTCAAGCAGCAATCAAAAAATAGATGTTCTTTATATTTGTCACCTTTTTTGTGCCTTAGCATCCAAAGAGATGGAAAACTGAGAACCCCACTGTAAACTTGAAACATGTAAATGACAAGTGCAATGTCCCAGTGACACGGTGTGTGCTTTTCACAGACTACTTTTAACGTCACAGAAATAAATGTTTTAAATAAATACCAAAGTACTCATTAAAAAAAAAATGTTTTACATGTAAATAAATGGGAGTACCAAATGGAAATCTTAGCTTTCAGCGCCAGAGCAGCTTCACAGCTGTTTTCACCCATAATTTACACCTCCTTAAAAACTATTGTATAGACATGTGGCCTTTCTGAGGCCACTAGGCAATTGTGCTTGAAGCCTATTCTAAATATACCAGCTAAATAATGCACTGGACATACTCTACTTAGTGAATATCTTGCCCCATATGCTGGAAGGTGCAGGTTGGAGCATTTGACTTGGAAACAGCACCTGCTTCTATTGTGTGGGTTCTATAATAGATTGGATCCAAAATAGGTTATGATTATAAACTTGATGATGAAAGGTAAAAACTGGGGACAGTTTTGGGATCCCAAAAGGAAAAATTTTTGCTGCTGATGCTCATTGCTACTGCGTATAGGATAGAAAGGTAAAAACACAATTGAGCTACTTGGGGCTCAATTGTGGTTGAATAGGATCAGCTGTTTCTTTGTTTCAGCTACAAAATTATTCAGCAGTACAGCTGCATTAATTAGTTATTTGTAAGGTGCTTTGAAGGGGAAGTGTTACGTAAGTGAAGATAGTATTATACCTTTCCCTCCTCGATGTGTCAGTATGCTAGTTTAAATATTCCCTTTTTTATTTAAAAACCCACCTGAATTATTAGCAAAGCAAATACCTCTCTTTGTTAAGTGACTATTGGAGGGAATTCTGCAAACTTCTGAGAGTTACAAAGAGTGAAGAAGTTGTTCTGTAGATCTGATTTCTAATTTCAGTTTAATATCTGACTGACCTGAGTAGAAATTTATGTGATTTCTGCTTCATTTTCTGCTCTGTAAAACAGTAGATGATTGTTTATCCCTCACTCCACCCCCGAGTTCTTATTGGACCAAACATTATCCCTGCTTTCGGTAAATACAGGTTATTCCTGAAAAGAGAGACCTAAGGAAAGGCACACACCTTTCTCCGAGTAGATTTACTTTCACGGCACTTGAATAATCTGACTAATCAGTACTTATTTGGGTTTTTATAAGGAATATTATATGCAATATTCCTCTATCTTGGCTCTTAACCCTGGGGAGCTTTAAAAAAGTACACGTGGGCCTTACCCCAGACCAGTTAAATCAGAATCTGGAGCTGGACCTTGGTAAGAGGTGGAAAGTGTCAGAAGATGTTCCAGAAAAGGCTTCATGTTTTTTCTCCTGCTGGCATTCTGTGGTTTTTTTTGTTGTTGCTGAACTTCCTAATGATGCTTTGGGGACAGACCAAGGAACATTTTCTCACATGCTTTAATTAGAAGGACAGATTAAAATGGCAAACTTGATAGATAAATGCACTAATATTCTGTATATATTATCTACAGCCTGTGTTTGACCCTGACAATGTGGAACACTGGATTAAGGTAAGGATATTTCATAATTAAGATAGAGAATTAAGAGTCACACATAATCATGTGGAATAGGAATACTAATAGGTCTCCATTTTGCATATATTTTGCTGTTTTCATTCCCATGGGAGTGTGTGTGTGTGTGTGTGTGTGTGTGTGTGTGTGTGTGTGTGTGTATAGTCTTAGTTTTATACTCTAGTACATTTTCATGATTTTGTTGCTTCTCATAAAAACATGAATGACAAGATAACATCCCTTTCAAATGCCATAAGGATCATATGAAGAGGATTAAAGGACAGGGGAAGAGAAGCCTTAGGAGAGGACATGCCTTAGGAGAGGACATTGTGGACTTCCCCAGATAATTGGAAAGAACATACTGCTGTAGCTACATTGACCTGTGAGACCAATTCAGTAGATAAAAACTGTGCATGCATCACAAGTGAGAATCTTCTAATGATGGGAGCAACCCAAAAATGGAGTGGGCACTTTTGTAAAGAGGTGGATTTTCTCTCACTGGAGGTATTCAAGTGGATTCTAAATGGTCACTCAGTGTTAGGACTGTTGAGAAATATATTTGAGCATTTAGTCAGGTGGGGGAGCCGATTGGATTAAATAACCTCTGAGGTCTCTTCTAGGCTTGAGATGTATGTTTCAGTACCAAGTACTATTTGAAAGTACTGTTATACCACTTCAGGTGCCTCCAAGTGTCATTTTGGCAACTTGCCATACTCAACTCATTTGTGCACCACATGTTTCAAAATCATGTAGTATTTTCCTGGGAAAATATCCTTCTGCCTGTTAGTATTTTGAAGAGCTGTTACTTATCTAAATTGACAGCCATTATGAGCTCCAGGCCAGATGGGACCTAGGCCCAATTATAATCATTGTTAACCATTTTTTCATGGTTAACCATATTTATTAAGTTTCTAATAATTATAAATATTTAGCCAGTATTTATTAAGTTCCTACTAAGTACTAGCCCACTGTGTTGGGCGCTGGAGGTATAACAGTGCATGGGGCAGGTATAGTTTCTGCCTTTTCAGAGTTTATAGTCTGTGCTCAGTCACTTCAGTCGTGTCCAGCTCTTTGCAACCCCATGGACTGTAGCCTGCCAGGCTCCTCTTTCCATGGAATTTTCCAGGCAAGAATACTGAAATGGCTTGCCATTTCCTACTCCAGGGGATCTTCCTGACCCAGGGATCAAACCCGAGTCTCCTGTGTCTCCTGCAATGCAGGCAGATTCTTTACCACTGCACCACCTGGGAAGCCCAGTTTATAGTTCAGTGGCAGCTAAACAACTTACTTGAAATTCTTGGGAGAATTAAGGATGTGGTTGAAGTCCCTGGGGTGGAGCGCTCATACAGATGGGGCCAGGGAAGCTTGCTGGCTCCTGTAGAAGGCCTGACTTAGGAGACAATAAGATGGGTCCACCATGGTGGAGGCTAACCTTAGGGAAGTCCACTCCCCAGACTACGTCAAGCTCAGCTTGTGTGTCAGTGTCGAAAGTTACAGTATCAAACCTTTCCTGGGCTTGATTGTGTGTTTAGTTACCATCTCCTCCAGAGGGGAAGATTTAAGTAAAATAGAAAGATAAAATTCTGCTCTGTACCATTTTCCTCTTTCAAGCAATTATCAGCTAGCTTCACTTGGTTAGATTTTTATCATTCCTCTAAAACTTCTGCAGTAGCTCTTTCTCCATCATACCCTCAAATCATCCCTGTCTTGAAAAAAATCAGTTAGTCTTCATTTCATCCCACAGTCATTTTCTTTTCTAGTGTCTTTGGACTGGACTAGTATAGTCTAATACAGCCTAGACCCCTTGCTTTTGTGTTCTTATTGTCCTCTTGTGTCCACAATTATTTTCCTTCAGTTTCTAGTTCTTACCACTCACAGAAAGTTGTCATAAATGACTTCCTGACTAACTACAGTGGTCTCTTCTTTGTCCTTTTAGCTTTTTAAGGTTATTTGATACAGTTATCACTTTTTTATGCTAGAAATTCTCTCCTCCATTATCTTTTTGTGACACTGTTTCCTCTGGTTTCTCTTAATACCTTTCTGTTCGCTTCTCTGTCTTCTTGTCTGTCCCCTAATATTATCCAAACTCTGAGTATACCTTAAACAGTTACAACTCTAGACTAAGACTTCCAAATCCACTTGAGTGGGCCACTCGTTCAAAATGGAAGAGGGGGACATATATGGGAAGGACGTGGAACGTGGTGAAGATGGTAAAAGGACTTCCCTCGGGACAGAAAACGAAGATCACTCAGTAGAACTGGAACTTGTCTAAAGCAGGGAACCACTATTTTTTGTGATACCAAGAACTCATAGATCAGATTCATTCAGGTCTTGAAGGTTTTCATTGGAGAGGCAAGGAACAAGACATTTGAGGATTATGTAAGATAGTAGGTGAATATCCACACAGAGTAGGAAAGGGAGGGGACCCTCTAAAGGATTCATAGGTTGGGAGAAGGAGGGGGCATACGGTGACTAGGGGGCTTGGTTAGGTGCAACACCACTGTATGGATTAGGAGGAGTCAAAAAAGGAGATGAATAGGAGTGATGGGGGGAGAGGGGGTTATCAGCATTTGATTTGAACAATGGAAAATTTTGTGACATGGTTGGGGATGACCATGTCATTGAGTTGCTAAATGCAGTTGAGGAGAAAGCTGTTGGCATACAAGATATCAAGCAAACTTTGAGGCTGAAATGTTGTTAAGTTACTCTCGGTTGAAGTCACTTAGAATCAGGCAGATGCTTGGTAGAAATGTGAATCTTGGTGCTGGTCACTCAAATGCAACAGTCCATCTCAACTTACAATTCATCTTCATCCTGATTTGATAGAATGACTCATCTTCTTACTCCAGTGTATTTGGCTCCTTTGAGCTTTCTAAACATTTCCACTGTGTCAGTTCTCTACTCTTGGAACCTTCGGTAGTTCTGCATACTGTCAAGTAAGTAAGTGTTAGTTGTTCAGTTGTGACTCTCTGCGACCTTACAGACTATAACCCACCAGGCTTCTCTCTCCATGGAATTTACCAGGCAAGAATACTGGAGTGGATTGCCATTTGCTTCTCCAGGAGATCTTCCCAATCCCAGGATAGAAACCAGGTCTCCTGCATTGCAGGCATATTCTTTACCATCTGAGTCACCAGGGAAGAAGCAGTAAATTCTAGGGGGGCCTCTGTCAGTCTCCCTGGAATATCAATCTCCCTGTAACAGCCCTTTTACTCTTATACTGCATGACTCCTATCAGGCCAGTCTCCTTCCCCTCTATCAGGTAAGTCTTTTGCTTTTTTTAAATGATGATCTCCAGCTCAGAATACCCTCTCTCTAGGAGGCCAGTCCACATCTTTCCCTTAAATCTCAGCTTGAGACACCTCTCTCAGTGAACAACTACCCCTCACTCCCCTTACCCTCATAATCCTATATTCTGTACTCCTTTCCTTGGAGTTAGGTTGGCATTCATACACACAGATACAGTGTCAAGCATTTACTTGTATGCAGAGTGATTAAGTAGACATGAGTTTGAGCAAGTTCCTGGAGATGGTGAAGGACAGGGAAGCCTGGCATGCTGCAGTCCATGGAATTGCAAAGAGTCGGACATGACTTAGCAACTGAACAACAACAGCATCAGTGATTAAGAAAGAATTGGTCACTTTCAAAAAATACATTACTCAGAAAACTATTATATATGGATATGCAGTTTGCACATGGGAATTTGTCAAGAAACTTGTGTATGTACCTGCCAGCCTTTAGGAAATGAAGGAGTGCATTATAGAGCTGCCATTTCTGCATCAATGGCAACAGGCTACACAGGGTCTGTAGTGGGTAATGTAATCAGTGTGTGCCATGGGACATAAGGAACACATGTTAAGCATTTATATGATCATAGGACTCAATGAGACAGTTCCTTTACAATTTACATCCTTATAGCATAGTCAATGAGTAAGAAACTTTGGAAGATGTTCAGTTGTTTTAATCACCTTGTATTGCTTTAAGACTGTTCTTAAGTTGTTTATGCACACGTGGCACATGTAACCAAAACTAAAGTGAACTCTGGTAACAGAAGCTTTTAGTTTTGTTTCCCCCTTATTGTCCACAGCCCTGGGAACAGAGTTAGCCTTTAATCAACTTGTTTTTAAAAAAAAAGTTGCTAAATAGACACATGAGACCTCTCCAGTCTCTTATGTATTTAAATTGAAAAAAGAAATGGTAAGGATGTGATGTTTTAAAACAAGGAATTACAGAGATTATTTCTAATCCTTACTATCATCTAGCATTTTTTCCCTCAAAGCTTCATTTTAAGTGATAGCCCAAACATTTTCTTTCTTAGAGCCAAGCACACATTTCTCTTTACTCCCTGACTTGTCAGTACCAGACTCTGCCCTTCTTTAGTACCAAAATCAGTCTTCCTTCTCCTGTCTCCAAGTTCTCTTTGTCCTAAGAATCTGCAGATTCCAACTCAGGTGAGATGATGTGTCATGGGAAGTTATTTCTTTCACCCACAGCCTGAAGAACTACATCTACAGCCCTGTTTTTGTTCTTTATATTTTGTTTGTGGATCTTGGTTTTAAAAAATTAGAGTTGATCTATTTATTTGTACATTATTTACAAATATGTGTCTATGTATGTATACAGATGCAGACACATACAGTATATGTGAAATTTATCTCTCTGCCTTAGAATTTAAGGACCTTAAAAGGAAGGACTAGGTACCAAGCATATCGTGACCCTTAAGTAAAGGATATATAACAACAGCATTGACTTGGGCATGTTGGAGGCTCTGAAAGAGAACACATCTCTCCAGAGTGACCTCATGAAGGTCAAGGATACTTTCTTGACACTCTGCCTGGTTAGACCATTTTTATTCTGATTCATATTTTATCCCATATGTTCTATTTTGACCTCTTTTTCAAGTTATCTTGATGTTTCAACTTTATTCCTCTGCTTCTAATTCAGACAGTATATGAAATCCTTAAAAATTTAAAAGATCAAGCCTATGACAAGTTTTGAGCATGCAGGTAAACCAAAATGTCAAGAGTTTACCCACCTCTGCCAACCCCTCCCCCATTTCTGTGAATTTGGCCATGTTTTTACTAGATTTTCACTGTTGAGTTAACATTCTGAATTACTACAGTTCAGTGACCTTTTATCCCAATTTTATTAGTTTGCCTGATATATATATATATGGGAAGTTTCTTTTAGGTGTAGGAATTTGAAGTGTAGCTACCTGCTTCTGGTTCACATTCATATGCAAGTACTAGTGGCATGGAAACTATTAATAATAAGCTATTGTATACTTTTTTAAATATCCAGGTATCAGGATCCCATGACTGATGCTCTAAACAAAAGTCATCTAAAGCTTAAACACCCTTTTGTTCAAATATAAACTTCATAAACACCTGTTAAAATTTGGTAAAATGCTGCAATTAATTTCATGTTTAATGAGTGAAATTATTTGGGGTGGATGTTTAAACCTCAAAGTATCTTTTAAAATGGAAAAAAGAAAGTATCTTGGTAGTTGGTAGAAAATCGGAATCTTGAATAGGAAAGAAATCTTCTAACCCTGAAGAAAGTTGTCATCTTGGTGGATTTTTTTTTTTTTTTTCTTTTAAAGAGAGTGGAGAAAGCTTCTGAATTTGCAGTTTCTCAAGTATTTTCTGCTGGAAATTCAAATTTATCCAGAAGGCTTTGGGGCCAACTTGTAGATTTGGAAACACCTGAGCAAATAGAAGATCATGAAGAAGTCTACACAGAAGGTAAGAGAATACGTTGGGAGTACAACTTACTAAAGCATAACTCATAATGAATTTCAGAGTACAGAACGAAAGTGTTTCTTTCTCTTGTTCTTAATTTTTGTTTGCTTCTACTTTCCTAAAGCTAATTTACCCTGGAATTACTTCCAGTAAGGTTATATTTAAGGCCTGTTCTGTCTCTTGAAATAGAACCACATCCAGAGTCAGTTTTGACATAACACTGTTATCTGGTAAGTATAAGATACTGATCTTGTGGTACCAAGGGCAGCTTGTTAACTTGATCTGGTATCATCCAGATAATTTGATCACAAGTTTATAAATCAGCTTTGTTCCTTAGGAAAGGAGAAAGTGTTTACTCCTCTGGAATCAGTATTGTAGTTACTGATGCCCTAGGGAACTCTACTGTTTGGGGATGAAGAGATCAAGAGGGACCAGCAAAGATGACTGGAAAGGAGAGGCCCTTGAGGTAGGAGGAAAGTCAGAGTGCCATATCCTGGAAGCCAGTTTTCATTTGAATTATTTATGTCTCCAGTTTTTCAGATTATTTCTTCATTTATTCAACCTATACATTAAATTGTTACTCTGATGAGGAACACATGTAAATCCATGGCTGATTCATGTCAATGTATGGCAAAAACAACTACAATATTGTAATTAGCCTCCAACTAATAAAAATAAATGGAAAAATAAATAAATAAAATAAAATGTTAAAATAAATAAATAAAAATAAATTGTTACTCTGTGCCAGGTACTATTTTAGGCTTTGGAAGAGCAAGTTATGAACAAAAGGTGAAGTTCTTGCTTTCATGGAGTATGCATTCTAGAATGGGAATAAAGTGCTCGCTTCGGCAGCACATATACTAAAATTAGAATGGGAATAAAGAAAATGAAAAACAAAAGGTCAGATAATGATAAGTCATCCGAGTTTGGACCTAAATAACAATAAACAGCCATGTGAGCTGTGATGGCGGAAGAGCATCCCAGGCACTGGGAAAGGTCACATTAAGAGTTAAAGTACAGGTTTGGTGTGCTTGAGGGACTAAAGGAAGACCAGTGTTGCTGCAGGTTCCCAATGGAGAAAACTTGCAGAAGGGCCTTGTAGGCCTGGGAAAAGAATTTAGAGTTTATTCTGAGTATGAGCAGATATCATTGAAGAGGTTTTTTTAATTAATTATTATTTTAACATCTTTGAAGGGCTTTAAGCAGAGGTACAGTAGGACCTTTTCTTAATATATGAAGACTGAATTACAGGGCGGGAAAAAGGAGACTAGTAAGAGACCGTTATAGTGGTCTGTGTGTGCTCTAATGGCACTTGGTCTTGGGTAGTTGGTGGTACTGGAGATGGCGAAAGGAGATATATTCAGAAATTGGCAAAGCTATGTCTTACCCTATGCATTCTCCTACCTCACCAATAGAAATACACAATATAGTTTAGTCACTCAAGATTTCCAAGAAGTCCTGCATTTAAAAAAAAAAGTTTACTTACCCCATTTCCCAAGTTTCTTAGACCTGGACTTTTTTTATCTTGAAATACATGTTAATATCCTGAGAAACTTTAGAGACTACTAGTGGATGAATAAAACATGGTTTTCAAAGGTTTATATCCTTTTTTTGCCCCTCTCATCAACCGTCTGTTAATATTCAGTAAGAACTAGTGATCTGGGGAACACACTTTGAGAAACTCTACTTTAGGGTGGGCTTCAAGCCTCTGATCCAACGTGAAGTGTTCCTACAGTTGAACCCTTCAAGAGTCTCCTTCTCTTTCATTGTCTTTTTGGAGCACTTCATTGTAAATCCCTCCTTACTAATGAATGGCATTTAGTAGATACAAATTATTTTACACATAGATTATTGTATATATAAATGTTCTGCTCCACTTCTCTACTTTCCTCTGAAAGCCAATAGTGTCTGTTGCTAGTATACGTTATACACTTAGTTTCTACCACTTTGATTCATTTTTTTCTACTTTACATTTCATGCCTTCCTTTCTATGTTAAATGTCTTTTAGCATCATTTAATATTTGGAAGCACTCCCTTCCCTTAAAGGTGTGCAATAATGATAATAACCATGATGAAGAATGCTAAAATAGACATTTTTCTTCTTTGAAAATCCCCTTACCCTCTCTGCAAGAGCTGTATGGTAATGATGATAATGAAGTTAATGCTAAATTTTCTCTCATGCCCCTACATTTAAGAAGATTTTCTTGATGTTACTAAGAAAGAAATGCAAATGGAAGTTGGCTTCCAAAATATCACACTCCAGTTTTTCTCCTCCCTCAATTTGGGTCTCTCCTTCCTAGTTGGCTTGCCTGGTTCTGCCTTAGCTGTTCAACCCTTAGAAGCTAGAGTTCCTCAGGGCTTAGTCCTTGCACCAGTTCTCTATCCACCTTCCTCCTTTGACAATCTCATCCTCTTCTGTCTCTGCATAGTATCTGTATGCTGACAACACCTACGTTTATTTCTTCAGCTTAGTTCTGTCCCTTGCAACCGAGATAATATAGCCAATACCTTCTTGAATCCCTATTTGAATATCTCATAAGCATCTCAAACCTAACTCATCTAAAGCTGAATTCCTCATCTTCCATTCAGATATACTGCTTCCTTTTTGTTCCCTGTCTTGGTGAATGACATCTCCGTCCTGTAGTTGCTTAGGCCAAAAAGTGTATAGGTTTCTTCTCTCATATCCCAAATTCAGTCCATCAGCAAATCATGTCACCTTCACCTCAAAACATTATTTTCTAGAATCTGAGCATGTTTAATAGTACCGCTTCATACTAGGCACCATCACCTTTCTCCTGGATATTTGTATCCCAACTGGTGTCTCCTGCTTTTGTGCTTGTCCCCCTACAGTCTGTTGTAACCTAGCAGTCAGAGTGATGCTCTTAAAATATGTCACCTCTTTGCTTAAAAACCTTCTGTGACTTCCCATTACATACAGAGTAAAAGCCCAAGTACATCGAATGATGTCAAGACATAGAAAAAAATGGTTTTCAACCTTAGTACTGTTGATATTTTGGGCCAGATAATTTTTGTGTTGGGGCTGTACTGTGCACTGGAGGGTGTTCATTGGCATCCCTGGCCTCTCCCAGTTGTCAGTTCAGTTCAGTCACTCAGTCATGTCTGACTATTTGCGATCCCATGGACTGCAGCATGCCAGGCCTCCCTGTCCATCACCAACTCCCAGTGTTTACTCAAACTCATGCTCATTGAGTTGGTGATGCCATCTCACCATCTCATCCTCTGTCGTCCCCTTCTGCTCCCACCTTCAATCTTTCTCAGCATCGGAGTCTTTTCAAATGAGTCAGTTCTTCACATCAGGTGGCCAGATTATTGGAGTTTCAGCTTCTACATCAGCCCTTCCAATGAATATTCAGGACTGTTTTTCTTTAGGATGGACTGGTTGGATCTCCTTGCAATCCAAGGGACTCTCAAGAGTCTTCTCCAACACCACAGTTCAAAAAGCATCAATTCTTTGGTGTTCAGCTTTCTCTATAGTCCATCTCTCACATCCATACATGACTACTGGAAAAACCATAGCCTTGACTAGACAGACCTTTGTTGGCAAAGTAATGTCTCTGCTTTTTAATATGCTGTCTAGGTTGGTCATAACTTTTCTTCCAAGGAGCAAGCGTCTTTTTATTTCATGGCTGCTGTCACCATCTGCAGTGATTTTGGAGCCCAAGAAAATAAAGTCCATCACTGTTTCCACTGTTTCCTATCTATTTGCCATAAAGTGATGGGACCAGATGCCATGATCTTAGTTTCCTGACTTTTGAGTTGTAAGCCAACTTTTTCACTCTCCTCTTTTACTTTCATCAAGAGGCTCTTTAGTTCTTCTTCACTTTCTGCCATAAGGGTGGTGTCATCTGCATATCTGAGGTTATTGATATTTCTCCCGGCAATCTTGAGTCTAGCTTGTGCTTCATCCAGCCCAGCGTTTCTCATGATGTACTCTGCATATAAGTTCTAATAAGCAAAAATGGCTCCAGTTACTGCCAGATGTTCACGGGGAGGCAAGTTCACCCTGGATCTAAAACCACTGCTCCAACCCTGATTCCTGTGATACTTTTTCCACCTCATCTCCAGCTACCCTCACTTCACTCATTCCTCCAGCCATTCCACCTTCATGCTATTTCTCCAGTACCCTAAATACTCTCCAGCCTTAGGGACTTTGCACTTGTTTTTTTCTCTGCATGGAATCATGTTCCCTTACATAGCCATATGGCTCACTCCCTCACCTCCTTCCCTTCTTTGCTCAAATGTCTTCCCAGTGAGGCCTCCTTTGACCACCCAATTAACTTAAAACTATCAACACCTGCCTTCCATTTCTTGTACACCATTTCTCTTTCTCTTTCTCTGTCTTTGTGACTCACTTGTTCATTGTCTCTCTTCCCCAGTTAGAATGTAAGCTTCAAGGTGGTAGGTTTCATTTTTTCCTGTTTTGTTCACTGCTATACTCCCAGTATCTAGAGCAGTACTTGACACATGATAATGCTCAAGTAACATTTATTGAATGAATGAAGATAGCAAATGAAGAAAGTCTCTGAAGTAACGGAAATATTAAAAAGATGTTTTTGTCTTATTGATAGCTCAGGAATTGGTCAGTGACTGGTTAGACACCAAACTTAAGCAAGAACTAGCAAGTGATGGGGACAGTGATGCTAAAGACACTGTGTCCAGTGTCCCTCCTGTGCCAGAAGCCAATGGACATTTGAAATATGACAGGTTTGATGGTAAGAACTTACCTGATTGTTCTAAGCTTTAACATCAATGATGGTTCCAAGAAATCTTTTTAATTGTTCTGAATAATAAATAATATGTTATTTGACTTTTCTGTGTTTTGCTTAGTTTTGTAATTGGTTTTAAGTTTTCTTGATTCACTTTAAGTTACTTATCTATATGTCAGTAAATTTGTGGTGATTTTTAAAAATTAAAATATTATATTATTTGTAATTCTTCTTATGCTTGGGCTTCCCTTGTAGCTCAGTTGGTAAAGAATCTGCCTGCAATGCAGGAGACCTGGGTTCAGTTCCTGGGTTGGGAAGATCCCCTGGAAAGGAAATGGCAGCCCACTCCACTATTCTTGCCTAGAGAATCTCATGGACAGAGGAGCCTGGCGGGCTACAGTCCGTGGCATTGCAAGAGTCAAACACGACTTAGTAACTAAACCACCATGATTATAACAGCAATTAATGCTGATTAAGAATGCCTCTTTCCATATATTATTGGATGACCATTTACTTTGATGGCTGTTTCAATGTTTTACCATATTTAAACATTGGCATACCATTTTGTATTTACAAAATGTTTCAAATCTCTTATAATGAAGGTTATTACTTGTATACAGAGCTAGTATCATACAAGGTAAATAGCTAACTCGTGAGGATTCCTCAGTTGTACTCCAAGAGTCTAAGATATTTTCTCTAAGCATAAGTGTAGACATAGTGATGGTGGTGGCAGCTCCTCTTGCATGACTCAGGCACCCCTGGTGAACTCATCTTTTAGCATTTCCCTTGTTTAGGACTCTACAGTCATAAAGTCATGAGCTTTTAAAATTAAGGGACTCCTCAGGATCACCTAATCTGATTTACTCTCTTCACCCCCTCAGACAGAGTTTCTTCCAAAGTGTCCCTTACATGGGATGATATAATCTCTGCCTGAACACTTCCAGGATAGAGGGCCTGCACTCTGGGAAGAGCCTATTCAGCTGTTTTGAGGTTCTAATCTTCGTAAATTCTCTCTTTTTTAGGAAAAATTAGGATATTATCCTCAACTTTTACCCTTTAGTGTAACAGAAAATATTGATATAAGTTTCTCTCTCTCTCAAGAATAGTCTTCTCTTTTTCTGTGGGAGTTGTAATCATATCTGAACCTTCATATAGGTCAGTGTTCCTAGATTAAATAGCACCAGTACTCTCAGAAGTTCTTTATATCACATTGCTTCAGATATACTGATTGCCACTTTTATATATTTTTCTAGTTTAGTGATGTTGTTATTAGAATGAAGCATTTTAGTATGTAGTATTTATTCTAAAGTGTGTCTGAAATTTAAAGAAACTGCTACTTTCTTTCATATGGTGCTAATAGATCTAGTTATATCTTAACTCAGATTTGTTATTACCTTCTAGTACTATACCAGTCCTCACTCATCTTATGCTTGTAGTGTTACTTTTTTGGAGGATCAAAACACTGAATGAAAATATTAACAAGCCATTAAAAAAAAAGTTTATCAAAATTATTAACTAACATGATTATCTCAATAGGTAAAGAAAAAATACTTGGCAAAATCAATTCCTGATTAAAACTCAGCAATCTAGTAATAAAAGGTAAATTCTTCAACCTGAAAAAAGGCATTTATACCCATGACACATACAGAAAACAAATACCAAAATGGCAAACATAAATCTTACTTTATCAAAAATTATATTACTTGTAAATGGATTAAACATTCCAATCAAAAGATGTAGACTGACAGAATGAACTTATAATTATTACCTTACTATATGCTGTTCCAAGAGACACAGTCTAGAGTCAAAGACACAAATAGGTTGAAAGTAAAAGGATGGAAAAAGATGTGCTATGCAAACAATAACCATAAAGGAGTGACAGTAGCTTACTAATCTCAGAAAAAATAAGCTCAAGATAAAAAAATTGTTACTCAAGACAAGGAAGGGCATTCTGTGGTAATAAAAGGGTCAACCCATCAAGAAAACATAACAAGGATGAACATATATATACCTAGAAATAGAGCCCCAAAGTAAGTGAAGCACAAACTGACAAAATTAAAGGGAAAAATAGATCATTCAGAAATAACACTTGGTGACTTTAGTACCCCATTTTTGATAATGCATAGAATTAAATAGAACATCAGCAATAAAAATATTCAGTATCACTAGGCATTAGGAAAAAGCAAATTAAAATTACAATCAGTAATAACTATGAAACTATTAAAATGGCTTAATTAAAAAGCTGATCATACCAAGTTTTGGTAGGGATGTGGAGAAACTGGAGCACTCCTACACTGCTGGTAAGAATGAGAAATTGTATAACCACTTTGGAAAATGGTTTGACAATTTCTTAAAAAGTTAAGCATGTACTTATCATATGATCCAACTATTCCACTCCTAGGCATTTTCCCAAGAGAAAAGAAAGCATATATTCGTACAAAGACTTGTACACGAATGTTCATAACAACTTTATTTGTAACAGGCAAAGTCTGAAAACAATCCAAATGTCTATTCCAGATGAGAAAAATGAATTGATGGTGGTATGTCCATACAGTGGAATACTACTCAGCAGTAAAAAGGGATATACTATTGATACAACAACATGAATGAACCTCAGAATAATTATAGTGAGTTTAAAAAAGCATGACCAAAAAGAATACATAGTATATAATTTAATTGATACCAAATTCTGGAAAACATAAACTAATCTTTTGGCAGAAAGTAGGGCTGGGGTTATCTTTGGGATATGGCAAAGAGCATGGGAAGAACTTAGAGGAAGAGATTGCACATCAGCATCAGGACCCTTTTGTAGCTGACAGATGAATTCATTATTTTGATTGTAATGATGTTTACTGGTATCTATATATGTCAAAACTTACTGTAGACTTTAAATATTTACAAGTCTATTGTATGTTATTTATACCACAGTAAAGCCTTTTTAAAAAGAGCGCTGGAGTCATCAAGGATGTTTAAATCCTTGAAATACAAATGTAAAAGTAGTATCTTTTAAATTTGGCAGCGAGGGAGTTGTTAGTGACTTGGGTGAAGGCAGTTCCTCATGACCAGAGGTTTTTTCCCTCTTAGATGAAGGTAACTGCTGAGGGTTGTACTCATCCAATTGGCATTATCAGTTACTATTTATTGAACTCACAGCTTTGTATTTTTATTGTACCAGGATTATTTATATAAATATGGAAATTATACTAAAGTTAAATTTAAAAAATTTCTTTTGATTTTCCCTTTTTTGTTGTTGTTCTGTTTCCCCCAGATTTATGTGGTTATTTGGAGGAAGAAGATGAGAGTACCACTGTTCAAAAATTCATAGACCATCTGCTCCATAAAGATGTGGTGGATTCTGGGATATTGGAAGATCTTGGAATGAATGAAAAGCAAGACAAGAAGTGGCAGAAGGATCCTCGTCTTACGATGGAGATGAGACATAAGCAGGTGGGAGGGAAAAGCAAAATTAAAATGGATAACAGGAAGCAATCTTGGTGTAACACATTTAATAAGCTTAAATAAAGACTTAGGCTTTATTGTGAAAAAGGGTGCCATCTGTGGTTTGGTTAGAAAGAATAAAAATAAAATATAAGAACTTCAGAGGAAAAATAATGCTCATAAACTGAGGATAGGAAACAATTTAAGAAAACCAAAAAGAGGAATAATTGATTTTGACCAAGAGAGTGGTGAGCTAAGCTTTATTAGTTTGGATGTGGTACTTCGTATTATAAATATGTAGATTGGGTTTTGCTCAAATTTGATTTTTGAATTGCAATGTGATGATATTAATATCATGAATATTCTGGTGAATGTTATAATGATAATTCTTTTCTAGATGGTGGAAAAATTTACTCATTTTGTGATTATAATTTGGAAGGGAATTAAATCTAGTTCATCTGTTTTGAATTAGAAAGGCATATGGGAACTTTCTTTTCTCCAAAGGGGATAGTAGGTTATAGGGAAAAGATTCATCTCAACACTTTGTAGAGGAGCTTCAGGAAATCAGAATGGCCAAGTCTTTTCCACATGTCCAGAACTAAGACCAGACTAGAATTAATGTCTGTATATGTGTATGCTGTCTTTTTGTAATACTGAATTTCTGATTACTTTAAACCATAAGTTATGCTGAAGCAGAACTAAGGATGTTAGAGAAACTGGGGTAGAAGTATGAGCTTGGTTTGAATTTATGATGAAAGATGGGGAAATGGCTCATTAGCTAGAAGTCTTATCACAAACAGAGAATAAGATAAGGGTAAAGTTAAGTGAAACAGGAAGGAAAGGACCACTCTTTAATTCATAGCTTGTAAGCCTCTAAAGAATTAATGAATTTGAAAAAAAAAAAATGATTGTGCTTATTCAGAAATGTCTGTGAAGTTCGTGATTTTGATTTCCAAATATGATCCAGAATCACTGATAAATTTAAATAAAGGTAGAATTGAATAAAAGGTCATGTTTCTGAAGTCACTAAATCACTGTTCTAGCCTTTACAAAGTAGCCTATCAAAAATACCCTTATCCTTTCTTAAATTATAATTAGCATTATAATTTAGATAGAGCCTAAATAAATAACAGTAATGTATACATTGGAAGATCTTTCGGATAGGAAATCATTACTAAACAAGAATCCAGAACTTGGCATGCAACCCATTCGATTTCAATTTTTTCATGGTGCAGATAATTCCCAAATTGTCTGGGGTCGTCTTTTCTGACTTCATTTAAAACTTTGTCTTTGCCATTACCCAGTAAACAAATGAACTTCCCCTCTTTTTCTGATAAACAGTGGGGTTCTGGGCCAGCATGCTTCAAAGTAGTTGTATTCTGAACTTCAAAATGTGTTCTTAGGTTTTGCATATCCCTTTCTACTTGAAAAGCTGCATCTCAACCTTGATGTATTCTCTTGAAGGTAAAAGAAAATCGCTTAAGACGTGAGAAAGAACTGGAGCACCAGAGAATTGAAAAGACCCTGAAAAAATCGGCCTTCTTAGAGGCTCAGTATCTGGTGCAAGAAGAGAAGAAAAGGAAGGCTCTAGAGGCCAAGAAAGAGGAGGAGGAGATTCAAAGGGAGATGGTAAAGCTGCGGAGGGAGATAATTGAGAGGCGACTTACAGTGGAAGAAGCATGGAAAATGTAAGCCAGCTGTGATAAGCAGCGTGAAGTTTTTTTGTTTAAGCAGTCATTTTGTAAGTACTCTAAAGTTCTTTAAAATGTACCAACAATGCAAATAACAAAACACAAAAGAGAAATCTTAACAAGTTAGCTATTTTTATTTTTCCATGTTTCCTCCTGGTCTTGGTTCCTTTGGGTACTTAATTGCAACCATAAAATACATTTAATTTGTCTTTCTGCTTGTTGTAATTACCACATTGCCTGGAGTCCTAAGGTCTGTATTTTACTCCATTGAGTTCCTATACCATAATTTATGTAACGACCTCCACTCCTCATACAGGTAAGCATTTCAGCTAATTTCAGATTTTTCACCAGTATATAGTTCAGTGAGCATCCTTAAGTGTAGAGTGTTTTCATTCTTTTGAATTATGTTCTTAGGTGTGTAATTACTGAGTTAAATGGTATAGACTTTTATGACTCTTGAAACATTGCCAAATTCATTTCCCAATGGGTTGTACGTATTAACATGATTGCTGGCAGTGGGTTGCACTCAGCATTGGGGGAGGTCATCACTTTTCAGTATTTTTACACTTCTAAGAGGTATCCTGTTGGTTAGTTTGCATCTGTTTGTGTACCTGAATGTTTTTAAGGTTGAAAATGTTTCCTTATGCACATTTACTAATTTTGCCTCATTTTGTTGTGAATTGCCTCAGTGTCCCATCTTCAGATAATCATACAGAGAGTCCCCATGGCCTTAGTGCCACTGATAAAGAAAAAAAAATATCTGACAAAAGAGGAAAATCAAAATAGTCCTCACAGGATATAGTACTGCTGTGTGTCTTCAGGCAGAGAATAGCTTCATAAATGAAATCACTAACATATTTATTCTGAGAAACAGCACTGATGCATAAACTGCAGAAGCCTAAGGACAACGTGCCCGAAGTGCTTGAATACTCAAACTGAGAGGCCAGGAATACCTATTAGATAATCCCTTCCACCCCTATCTGCCTATGCAACATTCCCCCCTGTGTTCCTGATTGCTCTCATCCCACCCAATTTAAAACAGCTCAGCAATGGATGTGCGTTTCATTCTTCCAAGTGCCAGGCTCAGGCTTCCTCCAGATGCCATTCCTTTTAGAAAGCAATCACCAGTGTTTTAGTGAGTTCTTGCTAAGGTCAACCTTGCTCTTCAGATTCCTCTCAAGCCCTGACAAATCTAGGCTGACCTAAAATAAATTGTGAAAACAATTTGTATTTGATGGTAGGCAGAAGTTCTGCTCACAGTGGGCACTCTGCAGACGTTCACTCACCAGACATTTCTCTTAAAAGTTAGAAGCTTATCCACGGATATAGTGAGACAGGGAACATGCAGTCCTTCTAGGTGGACAAACTGATTTAAACGTTCCAGAAAGCAATTTGGCAATAAACTATAAGAGTCATGAAAAATGTTATTATCACTTGACCTGGAAATTCCAGTCCTAGGAAAACTACCCTAAGTAAATAATCAGAAATCCAAATATTTATACACAAAGATAGTGAAAATAACATTATTTATAGTATTAAATATTGGAGAAATTAATAAATACTAGTTGTACAATGAAATAGCACTGACTTGTTATCAGTGTTTTTTTCTTGGTAGAAATATGTAAGTGAACGTGCTGACCACTACACTACGGAAATGTTGCCTGGGTAGAAATATGGTTGTCCTTTATACCTCTCCAATTCTTCACAGCGAGCAGATACTGCTTTCATAACAGATACATATTTTAATGTTACTTTTAAAAATTAGATCCCTGGTATTAGTATTAGAACTGTATTTCTTTTAATGCCCACTGTGATCTACCTGTAACTATCTAATATAACACTGTTATGGCATTAGTAGGGAAAGTCAGTAAAATGTTATTGTTGGTAGGGCTTTCTAATTTATTTGTAAAGTAGCCTAAATCTGTTCCATTGAATAGTTTCAAAAGTGTCTTCTCTAAGAGGTTTATTAATTACAAAGGGAAAAATAGCAACTTTACACTGGAAAAGCTACCTTAACCAAGTCATGGTTCGTGTCCCCAGTAATAAGATATAACTGTGTGCCTCCCATAGGATATATGATAATTAATGAATAAATATCTTTAGATTATTCTGGCATCCCTCTCTCAATTTGAGTTTCCACAACTGTAAAGTGAAATTCAGAGAGACTAGGTGAATCTCCAGAGTTTTCACAGCTGGTTTGTGGCAGAGCCTATGAATCCTGTTTCCTGGCAGATGCTATCTCTACTACATCACTGATAAAATGTATACCTTATACACTTACACATACCTGTACAGTTTAATACACTCCAGTAAGAAGGCAATGGTTAAGAGCTGGCTTGGATTGGTGAGGGTAAAGGGGTTACCTGAAAGAGAAAGAAAAGATAGGTGGGTGAGCAAGAGAGAACCAGAAATTTGAGCAACAAAGTTACTAAGAGATTCTTGTTAACTTCCCTGAAGTCCTTTTCTTCTTTGTTATTATGTTCTACTTTTTCTCTTTTCAGCTATTTTTAAATTAATATAAATTCCATTCTCTCCTTATTCAGTAACACCTGATTCTTTTGTTATTTTTCTTCCTAGAAACCTTGTAAAAGCCTCATGATAAAAATTTCACTCCTTTCTTACCTGAGGGTCCTATTTAATCTCCTCTTGTGAGAAGAGAGAGAACTCATGTCTATATCAGAGGATAGCTAATGGTTGTTATCTCTCAAATTTTGATCAAGGTATTATTCAATGTTAAACTCAATGAAAATACTTTACTAAAATATCCATAAGGTTTTCTACTTTGCAGAATACATTATAACAATGTTATTTCTTTTAACTGTATTTTATAAAAGAATAAACTAACTCATAAAACTCACTCTGTAATTTTAGGCCCAGATCTAAAATTCCCTACCTTCTGATAGAAAATTCAGTGTTCATTCCACTGTGATAGATTCTAATTAAGTCTATTGTTCATACTTGTAATTTTTAATTGTTGTTAATAGAGAGAAGAAGAAGCAAGAAAATTCTCCAAAAATTCCAGAGAAAGGCATGTTTCAAAGTGTTCCTATTCTTCTGGATGAAGAAAAAATGGCAAAAGAAAGAAAGAAGAAGCTGAGAGAGTTATTAACACAAACTTTCAAGGAAAATCACCAGGTAGGAATTGTAACATCTCTTTTTTCAGCATTCTGCAGCATAAATGACAAAGGGCTCCATCAGAGATGTGACAGTGTAACTCTAAGCCCAACTGAGCCTTGTTACAAATACCAGAACTGTCCACACCGTTTGCTCTGTGCTACCCAACTGACTTAGTACATAAGGGAGCATTTCGATCTCTTATTCAGGGGCTATTCTTACATAATCTGTGTGATCCTGAGAAATTGGGGTATGAATTTGGGATGTCTTTCTAAATTACCCTTTTTGGAGTAGTGTGTAAGTACTAATGTAGATCTCTGGCAGTTTGCAAGCATAGCTTCCACTTTGACAGTCTTATAGACCACTATGTTCTGTTTTTATTCAGAAGAATTATTCAGAAAGTTACTTGCCTTTTGGTAGCTCAGAAACTAAACAGTAGTATATTGGTGCTTCTGCTTTTAATGGCATGCGTTTTATTTTGCTCTTCTATCACTTTCTTTAGTTCCACTTTTTGTAAAATTAACTGGCCAATTTTTTATTGACTACTGCGCATCCTCCCCATGCTATTTAGACAGAAATATTTTTCAGTGAAGTGGGATCAAAGGCAATATAAATTTGGGGCTTACAATGTTTCAGGTAAAAAGAATTCCTTGGAACATTTTTAAATGAGGTCTGATGAGAAAAGACAAATACCTATGTTTTACGTCTCCAACAACAGCCACCCCAAAGCCTTGGGTATTGATGAAATTCAGTGAAAGTTAATGGAATGAATGTACAAGTGAATGGATTTAACAAATGAAAAGAATGTCAGGAAGAGATTGCAGGAGCTTGATAAATGTTGTTTAGTTGCTAAGTCATGTCTGACCTTGTGGACTGTAGCCCGCCAGACTCCTCTGTCCATGGGATTGCCCAGGCAAGAATACTGGATTGGGTTGCCATTTCCTTCTCCAGGGGTTATTCTCTATCCAGGGATTGAACCTGCGTCTCCTGCTTAGCAGGCAGATTCTTTATTACTGAGTCACTTGGAAGCCCTAGGATAGACTAAAAAGGCCCTAGAAATCAATAACAGGCATTTGGATATGACATGGATAACTAAGATATGAGGGGGAAAATAGAGTAGTCAAAGTAATTCTTTAAAAAAAAATAGCTAGACATGTTTGATGGCAGAATTTTGGACTGTCAGGCAAGAAGTCATAACTATTCAAACATAGAACAACAAGAGTTTGGCCAGAGTTTTGGCTTTAGGAATAGGTAGAGAAAAGCATGGTAGGAGGAGGTATTAAGAGTTAGGATTAACATTTTGGGAAAGATTGGCAAAGACTGTTCGATGCTGTGTCCTCCATGAGACGAATGGAGTTAATATGTCCTCCTGCAGTAACAGTTCAGATTTCTGAAAGCAAATTGGAAAGCAACTAAGTGTAGAGGGGGCTATCTTGAGAGAACATAAGGGCAAAGGGCCATGCTTTGTTCCAGCCAGTGAGAGATGGATAAGATGTGTGTTTCCCATAAGATTATTTTTTAATTTTATCCACGTCCAACTATGCAAGAAGTGATACAGTGCATCCATTGGTATTCACAGGGGGTTTGGTCCAGGATCCCAAGTATATACCAAAATCTATAGATGCTCTAATCCCTTGTACAAAATAATGTGGTATTAGCCTATAATCTTAGAGAAGGAAATGGCAACCCACTCCTCTTGCCTGGAGAATCCCAGGGACAGGGGAGCCTGGTGGGCTGCCCTCTATGGGGTCGCACAGAGTTGGACACGACTGAAGTGACTTAGCAGCAGCAGCATATATGCTATTCACATACTCCTGTGTGCTTTAAATCATCTCTGGATTACTTAGAACACCTATGTAAAAAATAAACAGAAACCTGAATTAAGTAGGGTCCAGGAGACCAGCAGGGGGAGCTTTCATGCCCTGTGACAATAGCAGAGCCCAAAGAAGATAATTATTTGCTGGGAAGAACTGAGCCAATGAAAAGCCATGAACTCTGCTTACTATTGGGGTTTGATCCCTGGGTCAGAAAGATCCCCTGGAGAAGAGAAAGACTACTCATTCCAGTATTCTTGCTTGGGAAATCCCATGAACAGAGGAGCCTGGTGGGCTATAGTCCATAGGGTCGTACAGAGTCAGACACAGCTGAATGACTAACACTTTCACTTTGACTGCTTACTACAGCCCTCCCAACATAATCTTCCCCTCTGTAAGAGTTCTTCTCCCCTTGCTATGAAAGAACTTGAACATGGCTCACCATGGGTACAGATCCCGAATTTACAGTTTTCTACTGATTCCGAATAAACCCAGAGTTTGCAGGAATAATACTTGGCAGTCTGTTTGTTCCAGGTCAACACCTAATACAGTATAAATGCTATGTAAATAGTTGTAAATACAATGTCACTGCTATGTAAATAGTTTTTAGCATGGCAATCAAGTTTTGCTTTTTGAAACTTTCTGGAATTTTTTTTCCCAAATATTTTCTATCCACAGTTGGTTGAATCCACAGCTGTATTGCTTGGGGATACAGAGGGCTGACTGTATATGTTTCATAAAGAAGTGTTAGGTATGAATTCCAGATACATATAAAGAGTTTTACAAAATTAGTGGCGTACTGAAACAAATTACTCAACTTTTAAAAGAGTCAGATGGTATATTTAAAAATGAGACAATAAATGGTCTATACTTTGCCACAGACTCTGCTTGATTTGAACATATATTTTTGAGTCTTTATTTTGAAATAATTTTAGACATGCAGAAAAATTGCAAAAAATAGTACATGGAGTTCCTGAATACCCTTCACCCAGCTTTCCTCAATGTTAACATCTTATGTAACCATAGTACAATTATCAAAACTAGGAAATTAACATTGGTAAAATGCCATTAAGTACAATTAGCAAGGCTTATTAGAATGTCACCTATTTTCCACCAATGTCCTTTTTCTGCTTCAGAACTTCATTTGTAATTTCATGCTGCAGTTGTTTGCTGTGTCTCCTTAGTCTCCTCCTGTTTGTGGTCATTCTCCAGACTTCCCTTGTCTTTTATGACTTTGACATTTTTGAAAGTCAGGTATTTTGTAGAACGCCTCTCAATTTGAGGTTTTCTGAAGCTCTGCTTAGATTGAGATTATGCATTATTGGTGATGACACAATAAGAAATGTTGCTGGGCCGCTCTCAGTATAATATCAGTTCAGTTCAGTTCAGTTGCTCAGTCGTGTCTGACTCTTTGCGACCCCATGAACCACAGCACGCCAGGCCTCCCTGTCCGTCACCACCTCCCAGAGTTCACCCAAACTCCTGTCCATTGAGCCAGTGATGCCATCCAACCATCTCATCCTCTGTCGTCCCCTTCTTCTCCTGCCCTCAATCTTTCCCAGCATCAGGGTCTTTTCAAATGAGTCAGCTCTTCGCATCAGGTGGCCAAAGTACTGGAGTTTCAGCTTCAACATCAGTCCTTCCAGTGAACACCCAGGACTGATCTCCTTTAGGATAGACTGGTTGGATCTCTTTCCAGTCCAAGGGACTCTCAAGAGTCTTCTCCAACACCACAATTCAAAGGCATCAATTCTTCGGAGCTCAGCTTTCTTTATAATCCAACTCACATCCATACATGACCACTGGAAAAACCATAGCTTTGACTAGATAGACCTCTGTTGGCAAAGTAATCTCTGCTTTTTAATATGCTGTCTAGGTTGGTCATAACTTTCCTTCCAAGGAGTAAGCGTCTTTTAATTTCATGGCTGCAGTCACCATCTGCAGTGATTTTGGAGCCCCCCAAAATAAAGTCAGCCACTGTTTCCCTATCTATTTGCCATGAAGTGATGGGACCAGATGCCATGATCTTTGTTTTCTGAATGTTGAGCTTCAAGCCAACTTTTTCACTCTCCTCTTTCACTTTCATCAAGAGGCTCTTTAGTTCTTCACTTTCTGCCATAAGGATGGTGTCATCTACGTATCTGAGGTTATTGATATTTCTCCCGGCATCTCTGGATTCCAGCTTGTGCCTCTTCCAGCCCAGCATTTCTCATGATGTACTCTGCACAAAAGTTAAGTAAGCAGGGAGACAATATACAGCCTTGACGTACTCCTTTTCCTATTTGGAACCAGTCTGTGTTCCATGTCCAGTTCTAACTGTTGCTTCCTGACCTGCATACAGGTTTCTCAAGAGGCAGGTCAGGTGGTCTGGTATTCCCATCTCTTTCAGAATATTCCACAGTTTATTGTGATCCACATAGTCAAAGGCTTTGGCATAGTCAATAAAGCAGAAATACATGTTTTTCTGGAACTCTCTTGTATAATGACAGGGGCACGTAATCTTTGTTTTTGTTTTTGGCTGTGCCATGCCACTTGTGGGATCTTAGTTCTTCAATATGGGATTGAACCCAGGTCCTCAGCAGTGAGAGCATGTAGTCCTAACTCCTGGACTGCCAGGGAACTCCACATAATGTTAATATGTCTTATTACTGTTGATGTTAACCTCAATCACTTAAGTTTGTGTCTGCTGGGTTTCTCCACTGTAAAGTTACTGTTTTTTCCTTTGTAATTCTTATCTTAGAGAAAATATTGTGAAACTACGCAAGTATTCTGTTTATCCTTAAACTTTCACTTACTGATTTTAGCATTCACTGTAACTTCCCTGTAACAGTAATTTATGTGGTAGCTGTCTAAGGATGCTTTTGTATTTCCCTCATCTTTTCTCCGTTTATTCATTTAGATTCTTCTAGAAGGAAGAACTGTCTCTTCTTCCCCACTTATTTATTTACTTGTTTATTCAGTTACCTATCTATATCAGTATGGACTTGAGGATATTTACGTGATCCTTTGGATTATATTCTAATGTTATTGTTTACTTTGTTTTTCAGATTGTTCTAATCTTGGCCATTGGGAACTCTTTCTGGTGATTCCTTTGCCCTTTCAAAATCCTTTCTTTCTGATACCATAGGATATTCCAAGCTCATGTTATACTTTCCCTGCCCTAACTCTGGAACCAACCACTTCTACTTGGAACCCTACTTCCATTTG